CGCATGAGTGCTTCCAAGCAGTGCAATATTCAACCGAAAACATCGAATTTCATCTGCTGACTTTACTTTTTATCTACGTGGATATACCACCCAACATATTATGGGAAATTTGTTTTAAATTCGCACCATTCGAGAAATGCTCCCAAGAGAATGTGTCCTCGTGCAACATGTACATTATACATACTTACATATATGAATATATCAATATTCAAGAAAGTAACCATTTTTTATATAGATAATCCAACCAAACTTCGCATAAGGCATCTAAATATAAATGTACATACTTATGTATTTCGGGAAAAATTATTATTATTTGGGAACTGTCAAGTGCGTCAGAGGCGGCAGGGCAGATGCCTTATCACGAAAGTACCCACTCAACTTTATGGGAATAAATATTGTGGAAATCTGTTCTTGTCTGTTTTTTGGGGTCCAAAGTCGAAAGATCATCAGTAACACTTGTCTTTGCTTTAATTTTATGAATTGCAGATGAGATCGCCAGGCAGCTAACCTTCAGCGCGGCGAATTTTATCGTAGGTAGCATGCAGAACTATGGGACGCTGAGCGAGGCCTGCAAGCTGGCCGGCAAGCGGCTGCCCATTGCCGTGATCCGGAGCCGGGAGGATGAGGCCCTGCCCGCGGGAGCCATCGACTTCTACGAGCTGATTAGCACCCAGAATGTGCGCTACGATGATCTGCAGGTGGCGAAGGAGGCCACTGCCGACGACATGGTCTTCCTGCCCTTCTCCTCGGGCACCACGGGCCTGCCCAAGGGCGTGATGCTGTCCCACAATAACATCACCAGCAACTGCGAACAGGTCCAGTCCGCCCTGCCTCTGGACCTGGACGTCCAGGCGACACTGCCCGGAGTGCTGCCCTTCTTTCACATCTACGGCCTCACTGTGGTGATGCTCTCCAAGCTGGGCCAGGGCGCCAGACTGGCCACCATGCCGGCCTTCAAGCCTGACGATTTCATGAAGGCATTGGACCAGTACAAGGGCAGCATCTTGAATCTTGTTCCGCCCATAGGTGAGTCCATGAATACGAGTGGCAAGCGGAGAGTCTCGAATGATATTTACTCGTAGTTGATTACTAACTGGATACTCTATCCTCTGTCTGTTCCAGCCCTCTTCATGATCAATCATCCCAAGCTGACTCAGGAGACGGCCCCCGCCTTGAGAGTTGTGATGAGCGGAGCCGCACCTATTGGCCAGCACGACGTGGAGCGTTTCCTGCAGAAGTGAGTACCATGCCCCATCCAAAGGAATAGGGCCATCCATCTTATATTTTATGCTTAAATTAACACTCTCGATTCCACTTGTAGATTCCCCAAGGCCGCCTTCAAGCAGGGCTACGGCATGACCGAGGCCTCGCCTGTGGTGCTGCTTACACCCGAGGGCAATACACGCTACGCCTCCACGGGCATCCTTCCAGGCTCTACTGAGTCCAAGATTGTGCCCCTGGATGGCGGTGATTTTAAGGGTGTGGGACCCCGTACCACGGGCGAGCTGTGCGTGCGCGGACCTCAGGTGATGTCCGGATATTTGAACAACGAGGAGGCCAACCAGGTCACCTTCTATCCGGGCAACTGGCTGCGCACTGGCGACGTGGCCTTCTACGACGAGGACGGCTTCTTCTACATTACGGACCGCATGAAGGAGCTGATCAAGGTGAAGGGCTTCCAGGTTCCCCCAGCCGAGCTGGAGGCGGTGCTCCGCGACCATCCGAAGATCCTCGAGGCCGCTGTCTTTGGAATCCCGCACGAGCTGAACGGGGAGGCGCCACGAGCGATTGTCGTGCTCAGGCAGGGCCAGGAGGCGACCGCCGAGGACATCGCCGCCTATGTGGCCGAGCGCGTAGCCCACTACAAGAAGCTCGAGGGCGGCGTCATCTTCGTGGACGAGGTGCCCAAGAATCCCACCGGCAAGATACTGCGCAAGGACCTTAAGGCTCAGTATTCGGACTGAGCCCTTGGCAATCCTCCCCAGATTGGGATCAGCGAGTATATATTTTGCAATCGTTTTTTTTTTGTCTGTTTTAATATGTGTACGATATCCATCAATGTTGGCCCTGGTCTGCGGGCTTGTGCAAGCATTGCATTTAGACCATCGAAAACATTTAGTCCTAGACTTAGACGTAGGTCTCGACTAGTCATTCGATTGGTCCATAGTCTCTAAGAGTAGAATAGGCTGAACTCGTAGTGTAAGCACCCACCCCCCCCCATCATCCAACTCCCCCTACCCCACATGCATGCAAAATATGCTCCACAACTACTACTTATCTATCACACTATATAAATGTATATCAGATCGTTTGAATATACTTAATGACGGACCCAGATCGTATTGGAGCGTTGATATTTCAAAGTTTAAAGACGAAATCATGATATTCACAATTTTTTTTTTTGTCTACTGTTTTAAGATATATTTGTTTGTTAAATGTATGGTAAAAAGAAGCTGGATACGGCATGCATCCATAATTATATATGATATGTATGCTATGATGTTTGAGAATAAAGACGGAATGAAACAATTAAGAAATTTGTTTGTCTATCGGTCGGGACAGCGAACATGGATGTACGGGTATACTCGTAAGAAATTCCTTGGATAAGGCTGGTTCAGCTTTTAATAATTGTAACTCTCTATATGATATACAAAATATAACCATAGTCAAAAGTAGGTACACTGTGCGACAAAATAAAATCGTTTTAATGTACTTAGCAAGAGACGAAAATATTTAGATAATTTTCTATTACCTAGAATTTCAATGTATATCCCCCACATCTTTTTTTTAAATTCAAATACCGCAGTTTGACACCTATCAGGTCTGATCATTCCTATAGCCAGAACAAACAAATCAATTTGCTATGCCTTCCAAGCGTTTTCCCACTATCTCTTCCTCACACACCCTTCCTTGTGATGTGTGCATTTGTGTACTCAAATGAACCTAGACCACTATGTAGCACGAGATGGAAATAAAGAAGCGGTCTATGTTTTCACTTGAATAATTACACAGCACCACAACATAAATGAAAATGTCTGTTTGGTAAAGTTGAGAGTCATTCTATTATGTACATACAGTACATAGGTATGTATTTATGATTGCCGAACTTGATGTCTTACTCAAAACATGAATATGCCCCTTTGAAATATACAGTTTTTTTTGCTTACTTAACACTTAAAGGTTTACTATCCTGTTTATGAGTATTACCGTAGGGCTAACAGTGTAGGCCAGTCCTATCTTTATAGAGCCAGGTGGTCTATATCTAAATGAGAACTGAATAATTAATAAATGGGTTGATATTTAACCCAAAAGCTGGAGGGGTTCCTACGGGAACATCAAATGACTTAAAGACCAGCATATTTGTTATACCGAAAAATGTTTGACTAATTTGTATGCCAATGCAAATGCTACATACTTATAGTACCTACATACATATAAGCTCATTAGAGTAGTGACATTCGAAAGATGTTGTACAGACAACTGTATGTATGCTTGTTTACACCATGTATATATGCGCAAAAGGGTGGCTTAGACTTCCGAAAAGATTCCGTTGAAACGGCTCTGGAGTGATGGATGGATGGCACTGTCTATAATCCGACCAGACGACACTCCTTTCATGTGGTTGGATACATATGAATGTGCATGTAAATTGATCCGAAATTCAAAGCATTTTTCGTTAGATTTATTTCTCAATTTATTTATTTACGACAAAATACACAAAATTTAAGATTTGATTTATTTAGTTTTAGTTTTTAGTTTAGTTCTTCTTCGTTTAGATGTTTTCTTGCACTTTAGCTGTTTCTTGTACGCTGCATTACGAATTATGTAAATTACTTGCACTTAATATACAATAGCAAAAAAAATAAATGTATGTATATATTTGTTAGTGTGTGTGTCTAATGGGTGTGTGTGTGTGTGTGGACACATACATACATATGCATATGTCTGCTTATTTAGGTTACTCGTTTGGGATATTGCTTAAACAAATTAAGCTTAATTACGCTAGAGAAAAAAAAGGATCGGGTCTCGAAAAACTCACAAAAATTGCTTTAACTAAATTAAGGTTAAGTGTAAACATATATATCTAACAAAACTGATTCCCTTCCTTAATTTTTCTTATTTTTTTTGGTATATATTTTTGTTAGTTTTGCTAAATGGTGTAAGAATCAAGTCAAAAAGTTGTTAAATGCATCGGTTTACATACATACTCGTGCATGTAAAATATATAATAATAATTATAGTAATATTAATATAAATAGAACTAAAAAAAAACGTGAAAAAATACGTATGGAGTGAGACGAATATCTTGAATAGGACCTCACTGGGTTATAACAAAACATACATACATATATGGATAGGATTGTACATAAAGTGGTACGTACAATTGGTTCTCTTTTTGTGCACAAAAACTGAATACAAATACGATTCGAGCGCACTGTGTGCATGGGTGAATGTGTGTGTGTGCTGGTTTTTGTGTGTGTGCTGGTTTTTGTGTGTGTGTGTGTGTGTGTCTGAGTGTTGGAAGAGCTCAAGCTGCGGCGGTCCTGGAGAATAAACAGTGTTGTGAAGCGACAAGGATCAGAAATTGATAGATCAGTCATTAATTGATACATATCCACTTGGATCTCTCTCTCTCTGTGTCTGCCTATCCTTTGGCCCTTTAGTTAGCGTCACGTTCGAGGGCAGTTTCAGTAGTTTGAACAGTTTCGAAATGCAATAGATGCTGCTGTGTGCAGTGTGAGTAAGCGAACCAAAAGGAGTTCGTGGGGGTAGAGAGAGCCATACACAACACTGTTTGGCAATGGAAGCAAGCTTCACAAATGTCAGGCCCTTGTGGGCTCGAAGAACAGTTTCATAGTTTAGTTATAAGTATGATGTATAGATGTATGTATATAGTATATATATGTAAAGTAGATGTGTGTAAATATGTAAATATATATATAAGTAGCTAAGACTCTGCACAATTCTCTTTGTATGTATTTTGGTTGCTTAAGTTGTTAAAGTTATACAAATTTCATATTTCTTTTTTGTTGTATTTGATTCTGTTATCTGGAGAAAAGGCCACAAAATGCTGCGTACAAATTGAATAACTTTAGCTGAGATTAACTTTCATTCTTTTTGATTTTTACATAACTCAAGCACACACACAGACACACACAGACAGACAGACACACAGACACGAACACAGGCACATGCACACAGTATATGGGTACATAAACATACATATGTACACGTACGTATGCATGCATTCTGAATATATAAATATATATATAATATCGGAGTACATTTTGCTATGTTCGATTGCGTTTATCGATTCGATTGCTGCGATCGGCATCGCCTCTCGTTTTCCTGATGCTGCTCGCCACACTGCGTCTCGCTCTAACAAATGCCTGCTCCCCCTCCGTATCATCTCTCTCTCTCTATGTCTCTGTCTATTTAGCTCCATCTTTTTCTTTCTCTATCCCTCCGTTCCTTGTCAGTTAAAATTCCTTTGCGATGCGTTACGTTGTCATTGCCATTTGCTGGATGTCCCATTCCATTAGGTCTCACGCCTTGGCCCCGGGTATCTTGGCCAGCACTTTGGACAGATCCACTCCGGTGAGGGCATTGATCGAGGGCGGCAGCTGGGCCACCAGGCGGGTCACATCGTTGGTCACATTGTCGTTGCCTCCGATCAGGACAATCTCCTCAGTCTTGGCCAAGGGAGCAGCCACCTCAGCAGCAATCTGTGGAACAGTTTACGATTAATATTCAACTCTTTTTTTCAAAAATTATAAAAAACAAAAACACAATTTCCAGTGGTGGACAGACCTTGGGCAGCGATTCGAGGACAATATTCATGATGGCAGCATCGCCGTACTGCTTGTAGACATGAGCCTTCATCCGCATGCGCTCCGCCTCGGCCTTGCCCACCAGCTCGATGGCGTGTGCCTCGGCCGCGCCGATCTTCCTGATGCGCTCCGCCTCGGCACGGGCGCCCTCAATGGTCTGGCATCTGTTCGGGTAATAGGTAATAAGAATATGAAGGGTGGTATGAGCAGGGTTCCCCACTGAAGGGGTGTTCAGGGCAGTTTGACTCACTGTTTGGCCTGGGCCAGGGTCTGGAGTCGGAAGGCCTCCGCCTCCGCTGGTAGCTTCACGGTGCCGGTGAGCTCTTTGTCCTTGCGCTGGACCTCCTGCGACTCGATCTCGATCTGCTTGCGTCGCTCGACAACCTCGATCTGGATCTCCTCGTTACGGATCCTCTGTCGGATCTTGGCTGCCTGCAGCTCGTACGCCAGCTGCGACTCGGCCTTGGCCGTGTTGATCTCCTGGTCGAAATTGGCCTTCTGCAGCTTGTACATGCGCGTGTTGTCCTCGATCTTGGTGTCCGTCGAGTACTTCACATCCATCGCGCTCTTCTCGCACTCGGCTTCCCGGATGCCGGCATCTCGATTGGCCTCCGCCACTCCGGCATCGGCGTCCCGCTTGACCACAGCGGTCTGGGCCTTGCCCAGGGAGGCCAAATACTGCACATCGTCGTAGACATCCTTGATGGTAAAGGACAGTATCTCGATGCCCATGCGACCCACATCAGGTGCGGCCACCTCGCGCACCAAGGCCGCGAACTGGTCGCGGTCTTTGTACACCTCTTCGACTGTAAGCGTTCCTACAAAATGGAACAATAATAAACGGCATGAGTCTATGGGTATGGATACAGTTAGATGGCACCTGTACAGGTCATGCAATGGTGGTGAGGCAGGGGCAGGGGGGCTGGAATCAATCGATTGCCTTACCGGGTGACCACCAAACTGGTGACGCCCACTATCATGGCCACCTTGAAGACGCCCATCCACACGACGGACATGTCGCCAGCCAACTGTCGCGCCACGGAGGCTCAGGGCTACTTATTGGCTCGGAAATTATCTACAGTTATGGTTATCTATCTGAGTATCTATCTTTCGGTCAAAGCTTTTTCTTGTACTGCCTGCGTTTTGACGTCATTTGGCGCAGTCTTATCGCTGGCCTTATCAGAATGATAGCCCAAGTGACGTCACTCATGGAGCTCGAACAGAAGTGTAATCCAATTGCAGCTCCCAAGGACTTGCATCCCCTTTCGAGCCGCAGCAGAGGAGCGATCAAATCGTCTTGGCTTGGAGGCCAGTTCTCATCCCATGTGATCAAGGTCACCCCCGGTCGACTACCCAAAACAAAAGTGTACTCGTAACTATATAATTCACACGCGATTGGAATCGGAGACCCGGAGAGAACCCACGACCAGAGCGTGTCGCGTTGAGCTCGCAACTGACATCGGACCGCAATCGAAAACGAGACAGAGACACCCCCAGAGCCACAGCCAGAGCCAGACATAGCCCAGCCACAGACCCAGCCCACAGCCAGCTGTGGGGCCCTAAGCACGGACCCGGCTTTGGTTATGTAGCTATGTAGTTTTGTAATCGTTTCAGTATTCGCACTCAAATTGAAATTGTCTGCCTTGTAATTGTTGTAATCGCGCTTATGAAAACTACCTTGAGAGCGGGTCTCGTAAAAGTTTGCTCACTTTGCCCAGTCCCAGTACCAGTACGAGCCCAGCCCGTAAGCCCTACACTTGAATTTGGTTTAATTGAAAGCCATAGATTGAGCAGCAAGGTCGTCAATAGGTCTAGGTCTTTGAGGTTTCAAAACATAGAAAAAACGAGCTGCGACCAGTTGAGAACAAGCCTCCCTGCTGATTTATTGAATTAACAATGAGAAGCGTAGACACTATGTCGTCCATCAGTTTTTATGAACGGCGCAAGGTTAAGGTCTGCGAAGGCTCGAGAGATTAATAGATGGAGCTGGGCAGCACACAATATTTTATGCTAATTAACTGAAAACATTACTTAAGGTCTATGAACTCTGAGTCATATCTATTTAGAGGCCTAGAGGCTGTGGTCAATCAATTAGCATGGAAATATATATATCTACATCCCGATCTAAAAGACTTTCAATTGCATAATTCGAGTATTATTCCCTGAAATGGAATGCAACCCGATTCAAGAATATGTATATTGTACATGTATTTATTTTATTACCAATTCTGTTGCTACACACATCAATATACATACACACACACACACGGGATTAACATTTAAACGAGTTTAAGGAAGGAAAATGTTACAGAATAGGTGTATTTATGTATTTGTGTGCTCTAAGGGAAATATTATCCGTTTGCTGGACTGAAGAAGGTAGACGAGAGCTCTCCTTCTCCTGTTGGCATACTAGTAGGATCACTCGTTTCCAAAGAATCACTTGCCAGGTCCGTCCCTGACTACTTCTGGGTTCTATTTGATCCTGCACCTGATTTTCTCTTTTGTGGGAAATATACGCCAGGGGGAAATCATCCTTCTCTGGCTCAAAGAGAGTCTGGCCAGATCCAGTAAAGGATCCCACCGGGTGGGGCATTGTCGGGCCATTGATATCCTTGTCCTCTTCTAAGTCCAAGAATGAGAATTCCATTTGGTTGGTCATAGATGCAGGGCTGCTGGATTCCCACAGCTCCTGCTCCTCCTCCTGACCAGATCCAGTAAATGATTCCAAATGGTTGGATAATATAGACGCATTAACCCAGCCGGTACTTGGCCCCTCCCTGCCAGTATAATCAGCCTCGAGCCAGGCCACATCGACGTCATGGGAAAAGCGGCAATATTCCCCCAATACACAATTTCCCTGCACATAGAATTGGCAAATGTCTTGACCTTGAGCCGAGTGCTGAGTTTCGAAAGGGTCTGATGCGTTCATCTTGGAAACGGAGCACACAAGGATTGTACAAATTTTACAATTTTCAAGTTCAAGTTTCAGGGGAAATCTTAAAGGTCAATGTTAAAGGACAGTTCTGAAACCAATGAAGACTATTGAGAAAATATCGATTATGTCCATGTTGATTAGGTGGAGTTATGCTATGGTTTACGATAGTCGAGTCCAATACCACAATGTTTCCACTGGGCTGTTACTCAAAAGGAAAGTTGAATTCCGATTTGTGTTCGAACAATTCCAAAGAAATTTTCGAAGAAATTTCCAACACCTTAAATTAGCTCTTAAAAGTGATGCTAAAATTGGATGTGTGTAACGCACAAAAGGAAACGCGTCTGACCCCATACAGTGTATGTATGTATATATTCTATGGAATATGTCTGTCGGTCTGTATTGTTTGACGCATAGTTTTTAGAGATGATAAAAGCTGAGCAACCAAATTTTATTTCCAGACTCATGTCAGAACACACTAAATCAAGTTTATTTCAAATTTTTCGGCCTTCACAAAGGACGAAAGTCTGTGGCATCCACAATTCTGGAAATACGAATAACGGAATACATTCTCGTACAGAATGACCATATCTACCAGTTTACACAATCAGAATCAGATCGGATTATTATTGTAGCCAGGATAAAGAAATTAATTTTCAGCGGCTAGCTCACCACTTCTAGTGATGCAGCGCTATGCAATGTTCGATCTTTCGCGGAGAATATGTAGAATCTACATTGTAGATGTAGATGGCAGATGTAGCAACAAAAAAAAAAATGTAAAATATTTAAAAATTCCACATAAATCATAACCTCACATATGTATTTACATATGTATACATATGTATACTAACTGAGTACGGGTATAAAAGTAGAGCCGCGGCCACAGCAGCGACTCACAGCGTTCCCTCACGTTGGTAATTGTGTAATTTTTACGCCATATTGATATATTTTTAGTATTTCAGCAAATAAGCTTTAATTCGCCTCATTTCGACGGGCAAACTTGACGAACCCATAATAGCCCAAATGAGGAGTATTTACGCAGAAGTGACCTTCTTTTCCTCCCAATTTCAAGAGTATTCGAGCGAACGGTAATCAAGGCAACATAAAACTGTGGCTGACTAAGAGAACGCCATATACCATTAAACTAATGGTAGTAAATGGGGTAATGCTGTGTCTCCATTGGCACCAAAGAATGCAAGGAATTAAATTAAATCAATAAAATTGAGTAATTTATTTTATTGCTATGTAATTGCACCATGACTACTACGACATTATTATACGCCGTTCATTAGATCTTTCAATGCATATAGAATCCAAAAATGTTGTTTATGTTTCTGCAGAAATTTGCACGTGACCATGGTTGATAATAATAATATACGAAGGTCTATTTCAAAACAAGCAGATAACAGTAGTTCTACATGCGGCTTATAAATAAAAAATACACATGGTTTTATTTTTAAAACATCGATAAAAGTCAATTTTCATTAGGGTTCAATGTTTCCATCACTAAAACAACGTCACAGACTTCCTTTGAATGAAAAATCACGAATTAAAGCAGGCACTGCCTCTAAGTTCTATCCCTTTCTGATGTGTGCGGCAGCCAGCACCGAGAGCTCAGTACAATTTTACACTCTAAGCAGAACGCACACGTATAAAAACTCTCTACTATTTATTTGAAATTCTCGGATTTTTCTCGGTCTTTTTGGTGAAAGTAAGCCAAGGTAAAATAAACATATATATATATATTTTTTTTTTCCAAAACAATACGAAACAAGATTTTTCTAAAACTGTGCATTTCTTTTCGACGGTTTGCCGCCAGGCCATAGGTAGAAACGAAACATGTCCAAAACGGAAATGAACAATCAAGCGCCTTCTCCGAATCTTCGGACTCCGCTCTGGCGCCCCGTGGTTCTACACTATCCGAAGAAGCTGCTCCCGCACGGACAGATGCGTCGTCGCGACCTAGCCTTTGGCTACCCGACCGACTACGAGTCAACCAAGCTGCGCTGCGGTCTGGCGCAGCCCCATGGCATCGACCATGTCCGCCCGGGCCAGTATTGCCCGGAGTGCCAGTGCCACAAGGACAGGAACCATGGTGGGGGGGACATGGCCGATAATGTGTCCCAGTGCTCGCGTATGTCCAGGGCTTCAAAGCGCTCCGTCCGTTCCATAAAATCCAAGCGCGACAACGGCAACGGCGACGGGGACGGCGATAATGATTCTCCCCTCAGCCAACGTAGCGATATCTCTGTGAAGACCTTGATATCCAAGGCCACATTGAAGAGTGGCCACAGCAAGAGATCACCGTCCCAGGAGACCGTCAAGTCAAATGCCACAGTCAAGTCAAGCGCCACAGTCAAGACAAGTGCTTCAACCAAGTCCAACGTCTCGGTCAAGTCCAATGCGACAGTCAAGTCAAGCACTACTGCAAAGTCGAGTGCCATTGACGTCAAGTACAAGAAAAGCTCCGTCCGGGCCAAAGCCAGTCGTCACTCCCAAAACGAGATAATGCCAGACCCAGGTGCCAATCAGCACAAGAAGGAGACACAGACACAGGCACAGGCTGGATACGAGAACTACGCTCCCATGACGAGCACGGAGCGCAAGGCTGCCCTCGAGGAGGCCCGCTTCAAGTACGACAAGCTGATCGCGGAGTACAACCACCTGCCCGTGTCGGTGCCCACGCTGCGCGTGCGCAACCGCAAGATCGACATTGAGCGGGAGCTGGACGAGCTGGACTACAGCATCAATATGTTCGACCAGCCGAACATCAACGTCTACTATCGTCGTTAACTTTGATATTGACGTTGACGTTGACGTTTCTAGTTTCTTTTTCTTTATAGTTGTATTCAAAATTTAATTATTCTCCAAGAAGCACACAAATTTAGTTCAAATAACACAATGACTTCAAAACACACACACACACACACTCACACAGAACATAGAAGATGACACAAAGAGGAATAAGGTTGCATACACTGAAACGAAGCTAACAAAACAGAAAAAGAACACCAGCTGAAACACCGAGAACAAATGCCTCACAAGAAGATATGAAACGATTCACTACACTGAAAATAAATGGCATTTACAACAGCAGAAACCAGTGACCATTAATGGAAGGGACGGATCTGGCCTGGCTCCCGCCTGGTCGTGGGTGTGGCTATATCTGATAGCCTCCTTTTATTCAGCTTTCATCACTGAAGCGTTGAGGGACCGTATGGATGCGACTATTTTAAAGCTTTACATCGTAAATAATGTTACTCGAGAGACGATTAAGAACAAATTAGTGACATGTTGAAACAGCGTTTCAAGGTTGCGGATGAGGATGCAGTCCAAGTGACGATTATTGGCAATATTGGCAATTAGCGTTTTGTTTCAAATGAATAACCCCTGTGAGGGGCCTGTTTGAGTAGATTTAAATCCCATACGAAGAACTACTTAGCTGGATAACTCCAAAATCTTCTTTAAAACTTAAAAACAAAAACGATTTGATGTTAAAATATTGTTCACTGGGCATGTACAACGTCGATATTCATTCAAATTGATTGAGTTTTGATTCGTTCCCACACAATTGCCTGAAGATATCAAGATATCAATCCAAAGATTTATTTTGTGTGTAAAAGTTTATTATTAATACTTTATATCTTTACTGGCTTTTATTAGCAAAAACAAGCTACTAAGTAAGCCAAAGGCAACTTTATTACTTAATCAACCTATTTTGTTTTGTGCATTTATTACCAGACACTGAATCCATTTTCTTTTCAAAATACGCGGCTGTAGTGAAGTGAAAATTATAAGTGGCAAAAAAACCAAATAGAGGTGTAAAAAAAAAAACATACTTCTAAGTATGGAAATGAGATCTAAGACCCAACCAGACCTACAACTTAGTTTTTGTCTGGTCCAAAGCTTTCATTTTGTCCCGTTTAAATATTCTTAAAGCATTAATGAATACATGTAGTGGACTATTGAAAACTACCAGATTCGTACCAGACTACTAGACGAATTCCGAACCCCAAGCTTAAGGCGGCGCAATATCGCGTTACATTATCGCTTTGAACTTACCCAAAATGGCGCGCAGGTGTCCCTCGAGGGTCTGCAGGATGGTCTGCTTGATCTCCTTGACGCTCTTGCCCAGGAATTGCTCACTAGCAGTGCCCAGCAGCTCGTCGGCCTGATGATGGAAATAATATACATTCATCATCTGTGCGTGAGCGTGGAAGCATGTGGGTGGTGTGTGTGTGTGTGTGTGTGTGTGTGTGTGTGTGTGTGTGTGTGTTGTTTGATGAATTTTTTTAATTTTTCGATTAATCGATTGATTGTTTTGTTGTGGTTGTGTTGGATCCGCCGGAGGAGTATACGCATATTTTTTTGTTGTTTGGTTGGTTTCGTTACGCATACGATGTAGATCACCCACACAAACACACATGCGCACATAGATACACACACACACACACACACACACACACACACAGAGACACAGCGACAGTGAGAACGAGAGAGAGACAAAGAGAATAGAGAGCGATACATGGATTAACGGTAACAGCAGTAACCATATAGCAGTAACGGTAACGGTAGCAGTAACGGTAGTAGTAGTAGTAGTAGGAGCAGTTTTCGAGTAGACCATACATATAGTTAATATTATTATTATTATTTTTGTTTTTTTGTTTTTTGTTTTTTGTTTTTTTGTTTTGTTTGTAGGGCGGCCGCAATTCAATTCGAAATGATTTTGGTTTTTGTTTAATTGATGCGTGTGTGTGTGTGGTTAAATTTGGTCGATATCATTTACAATTAGTTGCGGATTAGTTTGATGAGTTGATTCGAGTTAGTTCGAGTGGATTCATTCGAGTTGATTCGAGTTGAGTTGGAGTCGAACGATCGATCGGCAGGGTAATTGGTTGATTTTGGTTGATTTGGTGGTTGGTGAAAAGAAAGTAGAGAAAAAAGAGTAGAACACAAAGGTCAACAAGGTTTACGTTTCGTTCATTTATTGTTTTGTTTTTTATTTTTTTTTGTTAATTGTTTGTTTTTGTAATTGTTTGTAGACTGTACTTGTCTTTCTCCTTCTTCTTCTTCTTCCTCATCTTCTGGTGATGATGATTGAATGACTTTGAACAAAATGAAATACGAATAATGAAAACGATCAAGAGAAAATCAAATGAACCAAGCCCAAAGAAATAGAAACATGCATCAAACATTACGGAACGAAAAATTACATTCAAAGTAAAATGATATTCCCTATGTGTGTGCGTGTGTGTATGTGGGTGCTCTTGAGTGTCCCAGTGATTGATAAAAAAATAAGCGGTAACGCTGTGAGCCGCGGCCCTTGCCGAGGCTCTACTTTTATACCCGGTACTCAGGCAGCATCAGTATCAGAGTCAGAGACATATCTGTATCGACTCGGCTATTGGTGCTGATCAATAATGTATTATATATTACACTATATGTATCCCCAAACTCTTTGAGTACCGAGTATAAAAATAAAGAACAAAAATATAAGCCCAATCGATGAATGGCCAAAAACTTAAACAAAATTCGAAACCAGGCCAAAAACAATTAAAGTTTCAATGTGAAATCAAATAAATGCAATAATAAACATACCTCGTCGTTATTATAATCATTATTCTTATACGAAGATGACTGCAAAATCGAATTGAAATAATTAAGTTATGGAACATAATTTGGAGGCAAACATCTACATATATCATGAATGCATCGATCATAATTTAGACCAAACAGAAGCAAACTCGTAGATCGGATCAGACATCGAGTCAAGTGCTTTTGTGTTTCGCGTGCCTAATTCACAGGTGGTGCAGTGAAGATCAGAGATCACTGATATGTGTGATGGTAATGTCGGAAGACTGATCGAACGTGTGCATTCATAAACGAGAAATTGCCAACTAGTCGGTGCAGTGGTCTAAAAATCGGCTCATCAAATGAATGAGTTAGTAAGCAGGTCGATCGAATGATAGAGTGATCGAGTTAAAAATGGATAAACTGAGGATTAATATATTACGTGATAACGAGTAATCGATTGATAACATTGCTGAATAGTTTGGACAGTTATCAAATGGAATATAATGATTGGATCAAAATTCTTTCAATCGAATCAACAAATAAGGACTGAGATGTGGATATTAACAGATCCAGTGAAAGAAATATCAAATTATAATAATTTCCAAATTGATAACATAATCAACAGAATTAAAAACTGAATTAAATGAAATTGTATATAAGAAAAATAACCTCATAACAAGGGGAAATCCAAAGGACAAATCAAGTGGAAAACAAAAAGAAAGAAGCAAGTATGGTATGAAGTCTAGTGCTAAAAAATTACTATGTGTGTACATCGACATCTACATAAGTCTAGTGCTAGAGCCAGAGCTAGGGCTAGGGCTACATGAACAGACCACTGGGATGGGTGATCTCAACTTACTTGGTGTCGGGCAAGGTTGGGGCGCTTGCAGGGCTAAATATGCATTCGATTAGGATTGTTGGGGGGTGTTGCTTGGGGCGGGTTTGGATCGAAACAGTAAAGAATTTGTATAAAACAAAGAGCCAAATGTTGGATTAAAATACGTTCGATACGGATGCGGCTTAGGGCTAGACTATGCATTCAAAAAATAGATGCAAGCGGGATACCAGCTCTCTACGTTGCTATCAGCCCTGGGGTGGGGCTCTCTCTACATGGCTGGGGGATGCACGCTCGGGATAATCGTTAAAGAAACCAAAATCTAGCATACAGAACTCAAAGAAAACGGGGGCCAAGCTTCAATCACTTTCGTTCAGATTCGATTCGTGGTGCAGAAGAATAAAGGGTTGCCAGAGTACTCGACAAACAAACCGAAGGAAATAAAAGAGAAAATCCAAGAGGGTGGGGTGGTGCGCTGTGGGAACGATGGGGTGTACCTTCATGATCTTGCATTGGGCCACGCCCGTCACGGTCAGTGGCACGCCCTGGGCCGTCTCCACGTTCTCGCACATCGGATTGAGGGTCATCACGTTCAGCGAGAGTCGCTGCACGTCCGTCACCAGCCACCAGGCCCAGGCCCATCCGCCGACGATGGTTCGCTTCTTCGTCGAGCCGCAGCAGCCGCCTGAAAGAGTGACACGAGAGAGAGAGAGACATATGGTGGTTAGTAACGATATATTACGGTTTCTTATTTGTTATATTATTTGTAACGAAAGTATGTACCTTAACTATGATTATTACTAATAAAGAGGTGTTTAGGTATTTGATTTTTGAAGCTTTTTTGGGGCTTTCCTCTGCGGTTATTCAATAAACTTTGAAGTGGGGTGGGCTTCCGTCTTCATATGCCCCTTTATTTGTGGAACGCATTTAACTGTCTGACGTCACTGGGCCACAGTGACCCACAAAAAGGTGTTGTCAGAGAGGTGTACGTACCTTTGGTCGGGGCGAGCTTTTGGCCAGTTGACCATAAAATAAGAGTGAAAGCATTTCGCCAACACTCTCCACACGCACACTAGACGGCTCTGTGCGTGTGTCAGTGCCGTCTACGTGCTGGCAAACACGTCGGGGAGTCATAGCCATCAATACCTGGCCTAAACCAAGAAGAAGTGCAAGCGACAAGCCAAACAGGAAGTGCAGCCAGTTGGCCATTTCAGGTGGAAACTATCGGACACCTTTTCAAAGTGTCCAAGGGCCCCTTTCCTCCTGCTTGCCAGACCCATGCGCCAGACATACTCGTACATACATACATATGTACATATTTTTGTGTGTATGTACATATGTACATGCAGGCAGGCTGCGCATGCGCAAGGCGCACTCTCAAAGCCAACGAGTGAGAGACGGCCAACATGAGCCAGAGAGCATGAGAGAGCCCCAAGGTGAAAGAGAGCGGAAGAAAGAGTGTGTGGCGTGACTGGCGTGGATTAAGGCCTTCTCTAGCGTGGCCCTCTTCTCTCCATTCTCCATTCATTGCTCAGTTGGCCACCGAAGCTCACAACGTGCGGCCGCGCATCGCATCGAATATCCAAACACGCAAAAACACGCACAAGCACACGCGGAAAGAAAGTGCACACGAAAAGCACAAACAAATCCGTCAAAGAAAACGCGCTCTACTCTACCCATCACTACTAGCTCCTAGAATCTATCTTTGTGTCCATCCATCCCCAAAGTGAGTAAGAAGATCCGTCAGAGCAGCGGCTGAGCGGCTGAGAGAGTGCGAGAGCACTGCGAGCAAAAGTGTGCCAACGGCAAAAAAAAAAAAAAAATCACAAAAAAGAAATCAAAGTCAATAAGAACCAGGCTCCAAAAAAGAATACGCACGAAAATTCTGGCGTACGACGCCGGCTGTAACGGTGACAACAGACAGAGCTGGCAGAGCAACAGCGACAACAACTGCGACAACGACTGCGACGCCTACGCAGGCAGAAGCTTTCTCAACGAAAGTGATTCACGGCTTGCGTGCGCTCTTCTACTCTCTTGTTAAAGTAGCTGTACATCTTGTGACACCCTGGCAGGAGGGTGTTTTGATTTTTGCCACATCTTTGCAACGGAGCGGAGCTATCCATTTGTTTCTAGATATTTCTTAGTGCAGACTGCAGCTTGCAGTTTCATTTACTGCACTGTATCAACAGAAAAAATCTATTACAAAATGGAATTAGATGGCTGTTCTTCGTACATACACACACACACACAGTATGTGTGTAGTTGCGAGGTAGCTTAAGTTTCGATAGAGGAAGTTAGCTTTTGCTTATTCTGTTGTTATGCATTTCTCTTTGGTGCTGTTTAACAAACTGTTTAGCAGCTTATTCCTATGTCCAACTCCATCTCCATCGCCATTCGCACTCGAATTCGCATTTTGGTCTCCAGCCGCTGGCAGCGCTGGCTGCTGCTGCTGCAGTCGCGCTATTGGCTACTTTTGTCGTTTTTTGTACCTTGAACTTGATCAGCGGCAGCGCACATTCAACTCTCTGCGCAGCGGCAGAGGGCCAACCAGTTTACAGCTGCCAACTGGCCACTGCCAGCATACAACAGCAACATGTTTGTAATTGCCTAGCATCCACATTCACATACACATCCATAGAGCAACAGCAACAACAACATCGATATCCACATCCACCATCCAATGTTTTGCTGAAAGTCAGATTATGCAAAAATTGGCGACAGGAAATGTTGTGGCAGAAAGCTGGCAGACAGATGCATCCAGCATTCCTACTAGTTGCAAGTGAGCGCCGGAGGCGTCTCCCTCTCTCTCTCTCTATCCATCTGAGTTTGTGTATCTGTGTGTGTGTGTGTGTGTGCAACAAAATGGTTGCATGCCACTCGCCTGTGAGTGAAAGAAAAGTAGCTGGCATTTTTGGTTTTTCTTCTTTTTTTTTTGTTTGAGGAGTTTTATAATAGAGATGGAGATTTCACTTTTATGCGGGAGACGAGACCCCCTCCAGTCCAGAGCTGTCTCCACACACATATTTCCACAGCTAAGCAGAAACACGTGCAACGAACAAACAATTGGAAAAGAAAAGTCAACGCTGCATAAGACAATAAAGATGCATATGGTTGTAGGTAGTCGGCCGAAATATACCCTAACCAGAGTGAATACTGTGAAAGCTATAGTGGCGCAGAGCTGGGAGAACAATCTATCAGACATATTTATGTACGAGGGTAAAACATATGGACTGACTCTTTAAGAACTGTAAAATCAGGAAATATATGAGGATTATCAACACAAATTATTTGATAACTGAATACAACCATAAAGTTTGATGGGATAGAATATCTCCGCATCACAGAGATATACTGCAGCAGATCCGCCCAGAGGATTCCGTAATACTCAGATGTACATATAGAATTATTATTCGAAAAGGGAGCCTCCCAAGAGGAGCTTTTAAAGATGAGTTTGTGTAAGAAACTCTAAATCTATTTGATTTCGAGAGCGCAACTGCCATGGACATCTCTCTCTGCCATGGCGTCCGAAATGGGTATGCGTGCTAATCAGAGACCATCAAGCCTACAAATGAGCTTACAGATCTAACGATCACGATTATCTGGGTCTGTAATACTTAGAGTCGGAGTCGGAGACAGCGCAGAAGGTGAAGACGAAGATAGAGCCAAGTGTATGCATAACAAATGCAAGTTACGAAATCTTTGAATCGATGCGAGATCGTGATTGAAATATGGAAGCATGAAAATCGGCTCCTTGCCGATACCCCGGTACCCCGCTTCCCCGATCCCTGGCGATCGCCTAACCCGATTACATACTAAGTGACTACGCGACTTTTCATGACATGTCCAATGTTCCACTGCAATCCACTACTCCTCACTGCTCACTGCTCACTCTACCCAATTTTCAATTGCCATTACAGACACGTTTCGGATCGGATCGGATCGCATATCGTAGATCGCTGGGAATTGGAAGACAGCCAGAGGAACGAGCAAACGAAGCGACGGACGACCCACATACACAGATCGCATCCCCAGAGACATGAGCTCGGCAATTGTGGGAGCCGCGTCGGCGATCGGCGGAGCAGTGACAGCGGCCACCAGCAACAGCTGGTTCATCCCCATGCTAATGGCAGCCGTGGCCTATTTTCAGTACGAGGAGATCATGGATCCCGAATCGAAGCCCAGCGACGTCAGCGGCGATGAAATACTCGATCACTATGACTTCATAGTGATAGGAGCCGGATCGGCGGGGGCCGTGGTGGCCAACCGTCTCACGGAGGTGGAGAACTGGAATGTGCTGCTCCTGGAGGCGGGCGGCGATGAGACGGAGCTAACGGATGTCCCCCTGATGGCTGGCTATCTCCAGCTATCGAAGATCGACTGGCAGTACAAGACGGAACCATCGGGAACATCCTGTCTGGGTGAGTGGGCAAATGCTTCACAGGCCTATGGGAGATCGCTATAATCTTGTTTCTCGTTTCTGGTTTATTCCTTAGCAATGCAGGGCGGACGCTGCAACTGGCCCCGGGGCAAGGTGCTGGGCGGCAGCTCCGTGCTGAACTACATGCTGTATCTGCGGGGATCGAAGCACGACTACGACAACTGGGAGGCGATGGGCAACCCCAGCTGGTCCTATCGCGATGCCCTGTACTACTTCAAGAAGTCGGAGGACAACACCAATCAGTATTTGGCCAATACGCCGTACCACGCCACTGGCGGGTACCTGACAGTGGGCGAGGCGCCCTACCACACGCCACTGGCGGCCAGCTTTGTGGAGGCCGGCGTGGAGATGGGCTACGAGAACCGGGATCTGAATGGGGAGAAGATGACCGGCTTCATGATTGCCCAGGGAACCACGAGACGCGGCTCACGCTGCTCCACCTCGAAGGCGTTTCTGCGTCCGGCCCGGCTGCGTCCGAATCTCCACATCTCGATGAACTCGCACGTGACCCGCATCATGATCGATCCGGTGAGCAAGCTGGCTTTCGGCGTGGAGTTCGTCAAGGACCAGAAGCTCTTCCATGTGCGGGCCACCAAGGAGGTGGTGCTCTCCGGCGGCTCCGTCAACAGCCCCCAGCTGCTGATGCTGAGCGGTGTGGGTCCGCGCAAGGAGCTGGCCAAGCACCGCATACCGCTCATCAAGGAGCTGAGTGTGGGCGAGAACCTGCAGGATCACATCGGACTGGGCGGCCTCACCTTCCTGGTCAACCAGCCGGTGTCCATTGTGGAGAGCCGATTCCACACCATGTCCACGGTGCTGCAGTACGCCGTCTTCGGCCAGGGACCCCTCACCATTCTGGGCGGCGTCGAGGGGCTCGCCTACGTGAACACCAAATATGCGAACAGCACGCTCGACTGGCCGGACATTGAGTTCCACTTTGTCTCCGGGTCGACCAACTCGGATGGCGGGTCGCAGCTGCGCAAGGCCCACGGGCTGACGGAGGCCTTCTACCGGTCCGTGTTTGAGCCAATCAACAATCGGGATGCCTGGAGCATCATTCCCATGCTTCTGCGGCCCCGCAGCGTGGGCAGCATCCGGCTCCGCAGCGGCAACCCCTTCGACTACCCGTACATCTTCCCCAACTATCTGACGGACGATTTTGACATGAAGACGCTGATCGAGGGCGTCAAGATCGCCGTGGCCCTGTCCCGCACCAAGGCCATGCAGCGTTTCGGCTCACGGCTGTCCAGCATCCGCTGGCCGGGATGCGAGCAGGTGCCGCTCTTCACCGACGCCTTCTGGGAGTGCATGGTGCGGCGCTACACCTCGACAATCTACCATCCCGTGGGCACCTGCAAGATGGGGCCCTACTGGGACAAGGATGCGGTGGTCGATGCCAAGCTGCGGGTCTACGGCATCCGGGGACTGCGTGTCATCGATGCCAGCATTATGCCCAAGCTGGTGTCCGCCAACACGAACGCTCCGGTCATCATGATTGCCGAGAAGGGCAGTGACATGATCAAGGAGTTCTGGATCAAGAACACTATCGTCTAAGTCGCATTATTCTCCGAGTGTCTGCCCCAGTGAGTGTCTCAGTTTGTTACGTAAGTGTGAGTGTGAGTCTGGATGTGTGTGTGTGTGTGTGTGTGTGTCTGTCTGATGTGTATGTGTGAATGTTTTAGCTGTATAGCTTTTTAGCCTGATTGACCCTATCCAAAACTATATTTATTGACATCTCCTCCACCCTTGACATACATAGTTTTTTTTTTTTTGTACATTTTAAGAAGAAACCTGTATTTATTTTAATTTTATGTACAATAAAATGATTTAAATGAAAATGATAATATAAAATAATATGGGGTTCACGTGTTCTTTCTGGATAGTCTTTGATGAGGCCGACTCACAAAGATTAACAAAATATCTCGAGGATCAGTGTAAGGGTGGAGTGGATATTTGTACCTATGCACATATGTACGCCAAATATAATTCTTAAAACTATTTGAAAATGATCAGCAGCATGCGATCAGTAATAGCAATCACAATATGCCCAAGTATAACATTTATTTGGGCAAAAGATAGATACGCAGACCCACTAAAAATATGAACAAAAACACTTGTAACACTCTCAATCGAACATTTTGTTTGACCAAATAAATTGCAAAGTACCAATTTGAATATAAATCTCATATATACAAATCGGTTTAGTACATTTCAAAGTTATTCAAGGTATTGCATACCGACATAAGAAATGGTTTTTTTTCATCTGTATATTTACACATTTTCCCAAGCCTCTTGAAATTGAGAAATTTGATGGCATTCACAGTGCCAAACCCAGTTTTAATTCCACTGTTCCTCTTGCACAAATTTTAAATTTTTATTGGAGAAAAACCACCACAAAAAGACCCTCGACAATATAATGCTGCCACGAGACATCGGTGTTCTTCTAAAATCACCTTACAACCATTTTATATGTGTATATTTTGGGCCTTACTTGGCTCTACTACCCATCAACGCCAGAGCCCGACTTGCTGGATCTGCTGGGTCTGCTGGATTGCAGAAGCATAGGCATAGGTAGGCGGATCATTAGTGAACCTCCCGAGTTTCGAGCACTATCAAAGCCCCCTTTTGGGTGCATAGTTTTAGGATCCACACAAAGATCAAGTTTTTATAGTACATATATAGGTGTAGATTATCCATTATACTCAATAATGATCAACGCTGGCGGATTTTAGCCCACATACATACATATGTACGCATATATTTGATGATCGTAGCTCGCTATTTTGTTGGCACTTTTTAGCTGCCTTCCGTCAGCTGTTATTCCGTTAGTTTGGTTAACAGAGCGATCAGCTGACTGGAGTTCATTCACAGCGCCACCTGTGGGACTGCGTCACAGTGTACATACGTATGTACGTACAGGTCTGTACACGTATAGCCGTAGAGTCTGAGTATGTGTCAGAGTTACGCTATAAATATTTATGGATGTGTGGAATGCAGTAGGGGGTATGTGGTATCGGGTACGCTTGTTTATGGCGCGCAAACAGAAAGTAACGTGAAATATAAAATAATAATACCGATGTGCATTATATATTTTCGCTGTGTTATTGTTAACTTTTTATGGGGCTCAGCATTCCGTTCTGTGGCCCGGAGAGGCAACATGGCACGCAGCGACAGCCTACGCGGTACAGTCCACCATGAGCGGTCAGCGTGTACACAAACCCCCAGCGAGGCTGGGAACCTCCGGGGCGATGCTGCGGCTCCTGCGGCTCCTGCTGCTGCTGGCGGCAGCGTCCACGTCCCACTCGTGGGGCCTCTTCACGGTGGAGAGCAGTGGCCTGGGCCTAGCCCTGATGGAGTCTGTGGCCGGGGCCTTGAATGCCTCCAGCCTGGCGCTGGCCAACGACACGGCCTGGCCGCTGCAGCACCATCCGCCCGTGGAGCAGGCTGAGATCGAGTCGTATGACTACATTGTGGTGGGTGCCGGCAGTGCTGGCTCCATTGTGGCCAGTCGCCTGAGCGAGTCGTCGCCCCACGTGCGGGTCCTGCTGCTGGAGGCGGGACAGCTGCCGCCCCTGGAGTCGGAGATCTTCTCGCTGAGTCCCACGATGCACCGCGACGAGCGGTACATGTACCTGGACGAGGCCGAGCCCAATGCCCAGCTGCTGTCTGGCCATGGAGCCGCCGCACGGCTGCTCCTGGTGGCATGGCCGCATGATGGGCGGCACCGGGGCCCTGAACGGGAACATCTTCGTGCCCGGCAGCCAGGCCAACTTCAACGGATGGCGGCGACGGCTGAATCTGCGCGGCTGGGACTGGCCCCAGGTGCAGCTCGCCTACAGGCAGCTGGAGCGGCGCCTGCAGCTCAGCTACTTCCCGGTAGAGCCCCTCAGCCAGCGCCTCTCCGGCCTGATCTATGCGGCTGCCTCGGAGCTGGGCGTGCCGCGAATGAAGCAGCCGCTGGTGGCCAGCTCGAGCTTCGGCTACACCCACCACGTGCCAGTGACCCTCAACGCGGGCAGAAGGGCCAGCAGTGGGCGCCTGTACCTGGCCACCCCGGAGGCCAGTCGGCGACCGAATCTGAAAGTGGTCAGAGGCGCCAGCGTGCAGCGAGTGCTGCTGGACGAGGGTGGCGGCCGGGCCAAGGGCGTTGTCTACTCCCTGGATGGCCCGGGCGGTGGAGAACGCACCGCCAAGTCGCTCCGTGAGGTCATCGTGAGTGGCGGAGCCATCAACTCTGCCAAGCTCCTGCTGCTCTCCGGCATCGGACCCGCCGCACAGCTGAGTCCGTTGGGCATCACACCCCTGCGGGAGCTGCCCGTGGGCCAGAACCTCCACGACCACGGGATGCTGCCGCTCTACCTCCGCTTCACCCGTAACTGCGCCGTCAACAGCACCCAGGAGGCGGGGCCCAGCGCCTACTCGGCCGCATCCGTCGCCGAGTACCTCCTGAACGGCCAGCGGGGCCCTTTGGCCAACAGCTTCTCCATGATGGGCTTCATCAACTCCAGTGCCCCCGCCTCGAGTCAGGGCGAGCCCGATCTGCTGCTGGTGGCTCACACGCTGATGGCGCGCGGCGGCTCGGGAAGCTTTGGGTACCTGGGATTCCGGCCAGAGCTGGTGGAAGCCCAACGGCAGGTGCTCCTCGAGTCAGACATGCTGCAGGTGATGGGCTCGCTGCTCAAGCCGCTGTCCCGGAGCGTGATCCGGCTGCGCAGTGCGGATCCCTCGCAGGCCCCGCTCATCGAGAGCCACTACGGCGAGGAGCCCGAAGACCAGGCCACCCTGCTCCGCTGTGTGCGCTACGTGCAGCGGATGGCACGGACCAAGTCCTTCCGCCGATGCGGCCTCCAGCTCTGGCTGCCCCCCCTGGCCGCGTGCGACCAGCTGGCCAAGGACTCGGACGAGTTCTGGCTGTGCTACATTCGACATTTCTACGTGGGCTCTTGGCACTCGGTGGGCTCCTGCCGCATGGCCGTTGCCGGGGATCCGCGGGGCGTCGTCGATGAGCGGTTGAGGGTGCACGGGGTGCGGGGCCTGCGGGTGGTGGACGCCAGCGTCATTCCGGAGATCACGGCGGGCCATACAAACGCCCCGGCCATGATGATCGGTGAGCAGGGCGCTCGCATGATCATCGAGGATCAGCAGGCCAACGAGGTGCTGGATGGTCTCTAAGTAATCTTCCTATCCATCCATCCATCCCTGGAGTGAAGTTGTCATGCATACCATCCCTCTATGGAGGAGTCCCACTGTAGCTGACTGAAAAGTACACATAGAGATATTTCTAGCAGCCCTTTGCGGGGCTCTGAGGGGGGGGATAAACACAGGTCCATGGATCCAGCTAACCATACAAAATGCATTTATATCCATAACTCTAACACCATTACACCTGGAGAAAACAGCCCCAAAATTGTAATACCTAAAATTAGATTCTAAAATGTATGCCAATAGATCTGCTCCCAGAGGGCAGGAAAAAGGGGAACAGACACTGTATTAAATCAAAGTGAATTCCACTTAATTGTTTAAAAATATATGAATTGGTTAGCCCTATATTCACAAACAAACAAAAATGGTAATAATCGAGCATACGGATCTAAAGATATGACCTGACCAAAATATGACCTAAAATTGCGTTACCTAAAACAGAAGTGGTTTTCAAGGTTGGGGGGGGGGGGGGGTATCCTGCGAATTGGGTCGGTCGTATCTGTAATTTTTGTTTTTTGAGATATGAAGTGTTCATTTTCAAAGTTTTGTACCGTAAAAACCTTCCCTGTTTTTTTGGCTATATGTACGCGGAGGCATCTGACGAACGTTACTGGACTGGCGTGACGTTACCAAATTCCGCAATAATAAAAGCCTCAAAATATACTGTTAGCCAAGGTTTTACAAATGTTTTGATACGTTTTTTTCAGGTAGTTCAATATGCTTTAAAGAGAAACTTTTATCAACAATCATCTTTTTCCCCAGGACATAATAGTAAAAGAAAACATACCCAAAAAATACAAAAAACGTGAACTAAAAGTTCAATAAAATAAATAAGCAAACCTTATTTGAATAGGTTTTTGCTTCAAAGTTAATGAAATTATATGTCAATAAAGTAAATGAGTTACCTTTGAATAAATTTAGAAAATAATATCCGGAAACAAATTACATGGAAATTGGTTTTTATTGACTTTTCATGATTTTTGGCCTGGTGGACCTTTTGACGGAACTGCCCATATGCCCATTTGTAATTTATTCGCTGAGGAAAAGTCGAATTACAACTTGAGTTTTATTTTTGAGCAGAAAATAAAACTCAAAGAATAATGATTATTTTTTGATTAATCATTATTTTGTGAGAGATTCAATAAAAATTAAAATGAATCATTATTGTATGCATTTTTGAATAAAACTTGTAATAATTACAGTTCCGGGCGTATGCGCGGTTAACTTCCCATTATTTGTGCTGCTTCCCCGAAGGAGCCCCCGAAAGAGACAGCAACATTTCAGCGTTTTATCTGCCCAAAGAAAATACCAACACTGGTCTTGCTGCGCAACAAGACCTTCTTTGTCTAAGCACAAGTCAGACACTCGAGTATCTAGCTGAGTATTATATGTACATACATATATACGAGTATGTACAATGTAATCTTTATTACGATTCCTGCCTCAAGAAAGCGAAGGCGAAGCGGCCCGGTAAAGTGCAAAGTCAGGCAAAAGCTGTTACCAATTGAACATCTAAATATTATAAACAGAAAATACAGCTACAGATACAGCTACAGATGCAGATACAGATACACATGTATGTGTATATGTGTATATGTGTATATGTGTATATGTCCATAATTTTCCATCTGATGTGCTTATCGTGCTTTGGCTGACTTTTGCTTTTGCTTTTGCTTTTGTTTGAAGCCACACATTGTTGTTGGTTTTGTTGCCAGTTCTTAGCTTGGGACTTTTTCTGTATCAGGCCATCCATCTGTTTATGGCCAGTTTGGGTGCCGCTGCCGAATCTTATCGCAGCTATCAGGGTGGGCCAGAGTGGGCCAGAGTGGGTGCGGGCAATCTTACAGATTTTAGTGGAGCCCATCCGCTGTGGGCTGTGGGCTGGTGGTTCGATCCCATGGGATTCACTCGGCTGGCCTTCACCCTTCAAACATGACCTTCGCCTGCAGCGCTCCGATGCTCCTGTCTGGGCAGCTGGGAATGCAGAAAAGAGTCTGCCACTCTGCTGGTCAATGCACTCGCTCAAGTCAAAGCCAAAGCCAAAGCCAGAGTTGGGGGGTCAGCAGTTTCCAGCAGTTTGCCTGGTCAGCGAGACAGACAGACAGACAGCCAGACAGACAGCCACAGCCAGAGGCGGCGGGCAGACAGACACCAACTGATTGGCGATCAGTACAAGTCGAACAATGACGGCGATCAATACGTTTGTGACCATGTGGCGGTTCCTGCTGACCCTGGGGCCCTCGGCCATGGTCATTCTGCTGCTGAACAAGGGCATCCTGGAGCAGCGGCCGGACATTGTGGACGAGCCGCATCGCGTGCGCTCCATTCGCATCGAGGAGCTGCGCGACACGTACGACTTCATCGTGGTCGGGGGAGGCTCGGCGGGCTGTGTGCTGGCCGCCCGCCTCTCCGAGAATCCCCACTGGAGTGTGCTGCTGCTCGAGGCGGGCGGCGATGAGCCGCTGCTGATCGACCTGCCGCAGATGTATCCGGTGTTCATGCGCAGTCCCTGGGACTGGAAGTACCTCACCGAGCCCTCGGACCGCTACTGCCTGGCCATGGAGGACGGGCGCTGCTTTTGGCCGCGCGGCAAGGTGCTGGGCGGCTGCAGCTCCATCAACGCCATGATGTACGTGCGCGGCAATCGGCGCGACTACGACCACTGGGCGCAGCTGGGCAATCCCGGCTGGGAGTACGCCAATGTGCTGCACTACTTCCGCAAGGCGGAGGACATGCGGGTGCCCGGCTACGAGCAGAGTCCCTACCACGGCCACGGCGGACCCATTTCCGTGGAGCGCTACCGCTTCCCCTCGCCCCTGCTGGACATCTTCATGCAAGCCGCCCAGCAGCTGGGCCTGGCCCATCCCGACGGCGACTTCAACGGCCGCACGCAGAGCGGCTTCGCCCCCCCACACGGCACCCTGCGGGACGGGCTCCGGTGCAGCGCCAACAAGGGCTACATGCGGCGCAGCTGGCAGCGCCCCAACCTCGACATCGTGCTGAAGGCGTTTGTGGAGCGGCTGCTCATCGAGCCGCAGTCCCGCCGCGTGCTCGGCGTCGTCTTCGAGTACGGCCTGGTGAAGCACACGGTGCGGGCCGCGCGGGAGGTGATCCTCGCCGCCGGCTCCCTGGCCAGTCCCCAGCTGCTGATGGTGAGCGGCGTGGGTCCCAGGGAACAGCTCCAGCCACTGGGCATCGAGGTGGTGCAGCATCTGCCCGGCGTGGGGGGCAATCTGCAGGACCACATCTCCACCTCGGGCGCCATCTACACGTTCGACGGCCACCAGGAGGGGCGGCATCTGTCGTTCCTGGTGCCGGAGATGCTCACCGAGGAGTCGGTGGCCGCCTTCCTGAGGGGCGCCGACAGCTTCTTCTACGCGATGCCCGTCAACGAGGTCATGGGCTTCGTGAGCACCCGCTACCAGAACGCCCGGCTCGACTGGCCCGACGTCCAGCTCTTCATGGGCAGCTATGGCTATGGGGCCGATGGCGGCATGGTGGGACGCCGCGGAGCGGCCATCACCCTGGAGAACTATGCGGAAACCTTCGAGCCGGTGATCTACCAGGACTCGTTCGTCATTGCGCCCCTGCTGATGCGTCCCCGGTCGCGCGGCTTCCTCCAGCTGCGCTCTGCGGACGCCCGCGTCCATCCCCGCATCCATGCCAACTACTACGACGATCCCCACGACATGGCCGTCATGGTGGAGGGCCTCAAGATGGCCCACCGCCTCACCCAGACCCCCGCTATGGTTGCCCTGAACGCCACCCTCAACATCTACGAGTGGCGCAACTGTCCCGAGGTGGAGTACCTCAGCGACGCCTTCTGGGAGTGCCTGGCCCGCTTCTACTCGCAGACCATCTACCACCCGGTCGGCACCTGCAAGATGGCCCCCCGCACAGATCCCTCGGGCGTGGTGGATCCCCGCCTCAGGGTGCATGGCCTTCGGGGTCTGCGCGTGATCGATGCCAGCATCATGCCCACCATCCCCACGGGCAACACCAACGCCCCCACTCTGATGGTGGCCGAACGGGGTGCGGATATCATCAAGGAGGACTGGCGGCACTACACCAATGGCGGCTGGTAGGGGGATGTTAGTCTAGGCTAGTCTAAGCTTTTACTCCATACGTGTATCAATAAAGAACTTTTGCCTTTTGCCTCAGATCTCTGCTGAGGCTGAGAATGGAATCTTATGGATCTCTCTAGAACTGTTTGCCTGTCCAGTCTAATGCCAGAGACTGCTCAGAAGGCCGCTCAGAGTGACAGCTCAGCCCGTGGAACCCTGTGATTAGCAATCCATAAATCAATTGGAACTTCGGGTAAGTGTCTGTGGTCTGTGGGCTGTGACTGGCACACTGGCACTCTGACATTTTCCAGGCAGCTCTCCGATGATCTTGGAATGCATTTGACACTTGAGGCGGAATCCACAACCCGTCGTCTCGTCGTCACTGGTATTTAATTGACTTTTGTTCTGCCATTGAACGAATTTCCCAGCATTAAGCAGCACCCCAACACAGCCCCCCCCCGCCCTGTGGCTGGTGCTCTGTGTTATTTATTTATTATATATATTTTTTTTTGTGCTGTGCCTGACTTTGCTGACTTTGATGTAATTTATGAGCGGACACTGAACCAAATGGCAAACAGCGACGCTTACGAGTTTTACCAGTTTTCTCGGTGGGTGCCTCAGTGGGCCATGGCTTGGGCACGGTGGCAGAAAAAGGTTTTTTCGAGACTTGGTTTTCATGGTTGGCCGCTGGCAGAGCGCGGGTCAGTTCACGTCCGCCACTGAGCGCAAGAGGTTCCACAGATCCCGATCCCGAACCCGAAACCCAAACCAGATCCACCACAAGATGAAAATCGTGCAGAGCATGGGGATAATGATGGTCATGGTGATGCTGCTGCTGCTGCCTTTATGCCTGGCCCGACCGCAGGAGTTCGTATTCCAAGGGGACACGTCCCCGGGAACAGAGGCGGAACGGCGACCTCTGCCCCTGAACGATCCCTCCGGTGAGTACTTGCCGCCCCCCGCCAAGCGACAGAGTCACACACGGTGTAATAATCGTTTGCTTGCAGATCTCAGTGCTGGCCTCAATTTGCTGCCCATTAGCAATCTGATTGCGGCAGCGGCAAATTCCGTGCTCCCAGCGCCCGTGCAGTTCATACGGACAGCCATGAACAGCGGCCTCTGACCCCCGCCCACGACACCACCCCACCCCGCCCCAATGTTAGCCATCATTTTAATCACTTGTAGGTGTCGTTCTTAAGTGTTAATTTTTTCCCTTTTTGTTTTGTTTTTAATTTGTATTTATTTTTATTTTTGTTTTGTGTGTGCGCTAAGTGAGTTTATAAAACTTGTTTTATCAGATACAGATTACCTTTCGGTGGAGCGATAAAAGCGCGCAATCAAGACCCACAAATTCTGTGTGTGTGTGTGTGTGTGTGTGTGTTTTTTTTCTTGCCATCTAAACTGCCATAAATGCGCTCTGGCGCTCACAGTACTCTGCTCTGAATACCCTAGGCAGAAGATACAATGACAGCAGTGTGCAGAGATCGATGCCAGATCGAGAGCACAGCCCCACTGCTTTAAAGCAGTGCCTGGCACGCACACACTCACATGCTCTGCAGTGCGTTTGTGTGCGTGGACAGCTGGCCAAACGGAACATGGCATTCATTTCGGTAGTTTCGGTAATTTCGGCAGCCAAATATTCCATGCACATGGCAGGGTATTTGAAGCTTTGGCTGGCTGCAGAAAGTCTCCGTTGTGGCATTACGACACGTTCTCACTGCCCCACTGCGCTATCAGATGTATTTGATGTAACTTCACGTACAGTCCGGACACTCAGTGGAGTTTGCCAGGAAGCAAACTAAGCAATAGCTCCAGCATTATGCGAATGAGAAGAATGAGCAGGGAGTCAGCAGTGGAGAGCCATTCGATTATGGCAGGGAGAGCCAGAGCCAGGCACTGCGCATGGTGGCTGCTGGTGGCTGCTGTGTCAACGTCCTCAGCGAGGAGTGCCCACTGTGGCAGAACGGGAACGGGTACGGGCACCCTGCCGCTCCCTCGGCAGGGCCTGCTCGCTTATCGCTGACTATATAAGCAGATCGCGAGCGGCGACTGACACTCAGATGTATTCGAAGCGAGATGCCGCACGCAGCCAGCATCAATCTTAATCTCAGCGAGGCCATCGCCGCGGGCCAGTGCGCTGGTACAGCCACCACAGCCGTTGGCCTCTTTGGCGGCATGGTCGGCCTGCTGCTGCAGGCCCTGCTCTCGGCCCAGTGCCAGATATCGCCCGCCGGCCAGTGGCCAGCCGACTACGCTGGCGATCTGGGAGAGCCGTACGACTTTGTGGTGATTGGAGCGGGTTCCGCGGGCTCTGTGGTGGCCAGTCGCCTCAGCGAGAATCCCGACTGGCGGGTGCTGGTGCTGGAGGCCGGCGGCGATCCACCCGTGGAGGCTGCGGTGAGTCAATCGGTCCGAATCTTGCTTATCTATTCTCTAACTCGCTCTCCACACAGCCACCGGCCTTGTTCTTTGGCCTGCAGCACACGGAATTCATTTGGAACTACTTCACGGAGCCCAGCGAACTGGCGAGTCGTGGCCTGAAGAACGGACGCGCCTACTGGCCGCGGGGCCGCATGCTGGGCGGCTCGGGCTCGGCCAATGCCATGCTCTACTTGCGGGGCAATCGGCGGGACTACGACGGATGGGCGGCCCTCGGCAACGATGGCTGGAGCTACGATGAGGTGCTGCCCTACTTTGAGCGCTCAGTGCGTGCCCAGGGCAACGAGAGCCATCCGAAGGGCTACGTGACGCTGAATCCCTTTGAGCGGCAGGACGACGACATCCACCAGATGATCCTGGCGGGCGGCCTCGAGCTGGGCATGCCCTATATGGCCGAGTTCGCGGAGGGCAGCGAGACGGGCTACGCCCATGTGCCGGGCACAGTGCGGCGGGGGGAGCGCATGAGCACGGCCAGGGGCTATCTGGGAGCGGTGGCCGGCACGAGGCCCAATCTGCATGTCGTCAAGCACGCCCTGGTCAAGCAGCTGCACTTCCAGGGGGACCTGCTGCAGGGCGTCAGCTTCGAGCGGAAGGGCCGCCTGCATCGCGTCGAGGTGGCCAAGGAGGCCGTGCTCTCGGCGGGCAGCATCGACTCCCCCGCTCTGCTGCTGCGCTCCGGCATCGGTCCGCGGCAGCACCTCCAGGAGCTCGGTATTCCACTGCAGTGGGATCTGCCGGGCGTGGGTAAGAATCTGCAGGACCATCTGGTCGTCCCGCTGTTCCTGCGCCTCAACGCGGGCCAGTCAGATGCGGCCAGCAGCCAGCAGGAGCTGCTGGACAGCATCTATGACTATCTGATCCATCGCAGGGGCGCCCTGGCCACCCACAGCACGGCCTCGCTGGTCGGCTTCGTGAACACCAATGGCAGCGGCATCTACCCGGACGTGGAGAACCATCACCTGTTCTTCCGGCGTGGCCGCCACGACATGCTGGAGATCTTCCTGCGGGGCCTGTCCTTCCAGGAGCAGTACCAGCAGCAGCTGCAGGGCCTGCTGAGCGGCTCCGATCTGCTCTGCGTGTTCCTGCTGCTCTCCCATCCGCAGGCCAGGGGCGAACTGCGCCTGCGAAGCCCCGATCCGTCCGTGGCGCCGCTCCTCGTCAGCAACTACCTGTCGGAGCGGGAGGACGTGGCCACCGTTCTCCGGGGCATTCGCTACATTGAGTCGCTCGAGCGCACCCAATCGTTCAGGGCCCAGCTGGCCGAGATGGCACACATACCCATCGAGGAGTGCGACTCGCGGCACGAGTACCGCAGCGACGGCTACTGGCGCTGCTATGCGAGGCACTTCACGGTCACCTGCTACCACCAGACGGGCACCGTCAAGATGGGTCCCTCCGCCGACGCCCAGTCGTGCGTCAGCCCGCGCCTGCAGCTGCATGGAGCGCGCAACCTGCGCGTGGCCGATGCCAGTGTCATGCCCAATGTGGTCAGTGCCAATACCAATGCGGCCACGGTGATGATTGGCGAACGGGCAGCGGACTTTATCCGCGAGGATTGGCACCCGGAACGGCGCCAGCAGGTGAAGGTGCAGCAGCACATGCACGCGGATGGTTTGTAGTCAAGTCAGGTATCCATCAAGCTGTCCGACATCAAAGCCGTTTTACATGTACATTTTGTGGTTTTATCACTCGGGGGGATAGTTGTATTTATTGGCAGGTATGCCAATTGGTTGTCTGTTGCTTCCTTTTGTTGTTTTTAACGCGAAGAATAAAGCTCCAGGGGTCTCTGGTGTGATCCCAATCCCAATTTGGATAGCTGCAAAGAGTGGCCGATAAATGAGTCCGTCGAACATTATTACAGGGATTGCAACTCGCCGGATATACATGTATATTCTTTATAAATAACTCTATTATGTCCTCACTGATTGACTGACTGATTGGGAATCAGCGCGCAGATATCGGCATCGGCAGCGGCAGCGGCAGTTGGCAAGCCGCCTCTGGCGTGCAGCCCAAGCCCGTGAGCCGCACGGGTGAGCGAGCACGAAAATCATCGGGAGAGCGGGATGGAGATGGAGATGGAGCGCAGCATGCGCGGCGCCACTAATGTTGTACGTCAGTCAAAGAACAGGACGGATGCTACAGAAATGGGCCAAAGCGTGCCGCATTTCACATGTGTCAGTTGCAACGTTTACCTTGAGCGGAAATCACTTCGAAAATGAGTGGCGCGCAGTTCGGTTGTGCGACTCAGACACAGACTCAAAGTCAGCCTCAGCCTTCCTTCGCGGATCACATGTTCAAGCGTCCACCGCCCTATCCGCAGCCACAACAGCCCCAGATACCCGAGCACCTGCAGTACCACTACACTGTGCGGGAATATGGACTGCCGCTGTGGCCACTACAGACGACGCCCCACGAGATGCATCCAGCGCCGCCCCCACTCCCGCCACAGATCCCCATAGACGAGGACATAAACGAAGAGCTCAACCAGCAAGACAGGCGAAGACTCATAAGGCATAAGCTGCTAAAGAAAATCAGACTAAATCAAATACGATTGCTGCAAAGGAAAATCCAGAAGAATACCACGGAAATACAGGCCCTGCAAAGCCAAATGAAACAGCTGGAGAAGCTGATGCCAAGGCCACCACAGAAGCTACAGCTACAGCCCACGCCACCTTATTACCAACAGCAGCAAGAGCAGCAGCAGCAGCAGCAACAAGGGCTGTACCAGGATGAACAGCAGGAGCAGCAGCAGCAACAGCAGCAAGGGCTGTACCTGGAAGAACAGCTGGCGTTCGATTTTCCCGACCTTAACAATGAAAATTATATGTACTAATAATAGAAAAATACCTTCAATAAAACAGAGCTGTGACCCTAAAAAAAGCACCCACACGATTTGTATCTTTTGTTGGCATTTCCCCATCGGAGATTGAGAAACATGGAAAGCTGCGCTCTTCGATGTTCAAAAGCGCAGCTTTTACTTTGCCACTCGGCACCACTGGGAGAGAGGTAGATGCTGCACAGAGTGGAGTGATTATCTCATTTAAATAATAGCTAAAATAGAAATGTTCATGGACCATATAGAATATATGCACCCAGAGATATAGAATATTCTCCGTGTGTTTATAAATTATTTTCACCTATATTTGGCACTAGCGGACCCCGCGAACTTTGTCTCGTCCCCATTGGAACTCCTTCAGACAAACTCCAGAGTGATAATAAAACCCTCAGATAGTTCAAATTTCACATCGTCACGTGAATCACATTACTCATACGCTTTCTTATCGCCAAGCGCGTTCCAGTGCATAGTTTTTGTTGGCTTCGGTTTCGATTTCGAAGCCTGATGACTAGCATGAGGCTCCTGCAGTTGTAAAAGAGTTTAAAAATTCAGTTGGATAATTATCGCAATTATAATTAGTGGCTACGTCTCCTTTGGTTATACAGTCAACAGATTTAATTGAATGCAGAGTATCCACGATTTGGTTCTGAATTATCAAGCTTAAGCCACTCATGTCTGTATTTTTAGCCGCCACAATTGCTCGCTCACTTAACTATTTGTTATTTTTGTGGCTGGCAATGATGTTAGGGAAGAAATCAAATTCAAATAACTCAAATTCTCAAGACATTGCGCAGATCTTTGAAGGTTTTTTTTGCCATTGCCGAGTGCTTTGCAATGTTACATGTAGTTTGAATATTTAATGGCAATTTCCCCATTTTTAGAAGAAGCAACTGGCCAAAATCAATGACACGAACAGCGCTAAAAATACTTTATAATAAGTAATTATAATTCATATAATATAATATATAAATATATAATGTTTAATTTTATAATAAGTATTTAATTTCGTTATGTTTAAATTTAAAAGCCGAATATTTAATTTAAATATGGTTGTAGCTTATACTTTGCCCTGCCATTTTTCTCTCAGTGTATACAGTGTATGAATGTGTATCTCTTGTACATATTTTAATACATTTCTGATATTTAGATAAAGTTTTAACACGCTGTCACGCTTGACACCTTTAACGCTTCTCCAGCTCCCATCGCTCATTAATTTATGGAAAAATACCAATTAAATCCACGCATTAAACTACTTTAACTGAGTACTACCTAATCTACGGCTTCTTCCACACATCATCCCTAAGAACCTTTAATCGCGATGGCGTGCCCCGAATCCAAATCAATTGCGAGCTGTGCGGGCCGTGCCCCACGTTTGGTCGTTTGTATTGCAATTGCAACTATGGCATCGTATCGTATGGCATTTTTAACTCAATTTCCAACGTCTAATAAAGTGTGTTGTTGGTGTTGAAAAATAAAACAAAATAAAATAAAATAAACGTTGAAGCCAGCGCACCCGTTTCAAGCTTATTTGTGTCTAACAAATCACAAACTTTATTATTGTCAGCTGATTTTGGCTGGTGAATACCTAGCCCTGCATATGGGATGTGATATGCTGACGTGGGATCACTGGGCAGCAGCAGAGCGGCTCCAGAGGTCACCCATGATGACTGATATCTGGCATCAGCTCTCCTGGGGTGGTCTGTAGGACGCCCAAGGGTCAGCTGGTCACCTACAAAAGACCCTTGACTTTCGCAGATGCAAATGGGATTAGAGCAGAGCTCGCAGCAGATTTAGATAAATCAAAATCTACTCGCCATATGCCCCTCAATCCCTCCAAACAAGCCTTGTCAGGAAGCAAGTAGATGGCAGCCATCGATAGTCGCCGAACCGAACGGATAGCACGGCCTCCGTAAAGATAAAGATAAAGATACGGATACAGATTCAGATAAAGATACAGATAGCCGAAAGCAAGCCGCAGTGGCACTTATCAGAAGTAGCTGTGGAGCTTCTAATTCTGTTCTGGGTCGCTGGGGCTTATCACAGCCGATTAGCTAATCTTCCGACAGCCTCTGCTGCTGCCTGTGACTCTGGCTCTGCCTCTGCCTCTGAGACTTTGATAAGGGGGAGTGCCGCCGCGGCGGTACGCTGGGGGAAGGTGCGTCTAATTTATGTGGAACAACAAATGCAAATGTGATTTACGGCCAGGCGGGGGGCTGTGGCAGGGGCCAAAGCAGAGGCAGCGACGCAGCCGGCATACAAAACCCAACTGAGTCGCGTCCGTACAAATTCCGGGCGTTCTGTGGACAAGCCAAACAGTCGCGCACGGGCAACGCCAGCAAGCGAACGCCATCGCCATCGCCACCGTCACCGTCACCGTCGGCTGATACTCAACTCAGTACCAGCTACGATACTCAAGGGACTCAGGGATACTCACTTGGCAGCGACAGCTCCTGCTTCTAATCAGACACATGGAGTACCTCAGCGCCCAGTGCGCCGCCCGGTCGGCGGGTCCGGCCAACACGCTCATGTCCCTGCTGGTGCACACGCTGATCTCCAAGTACTGCGACCTCAGCGGACAGCAGCAGTGGCCGCTGGACCAGGGAGACTGGCTGGACCAGGCGGGCGACTTCGAGCAGGACTATGACTTCATTGTGGTGGGATCGGGCAGTTCGGGCGCAGTTGTGGCCGGCCGTCTGGCGGAGCAGGCCAATTGGCGCATCCTGCTGTTGGAGGCGGGCGGCGATCCGCCCATCGAGACGGAGTTCGTGGCCTGGCACATGGCCACACAGTTCTCCGACTGGGACTGGCAGTACCACACGGAGCCGAATGGACGCGCCTGCATGGCCATGCAGGGGGAGAGTTGCCACTGGCCCAGGGGCAAGATGCTGGGCGGCACCAACGGTATGAATGCGATGATCTATGCACGCGGCACGCGCTTCGACTTCGACGACTGGGAGGCACGTGGCAATCCCGGCTGGGGCTACGACCAGGTCCTGGAGCACTTCCGCAAGGCCGAGGATCTGCGCTCCACCCGCGAGGGCTACACGCCGGGCGACCACGGCGTCGGCGGACCCATGATCCTCAACAACTACGTCTCCGACAACGAGTTCCGCACCACCATCCGGGCCGGCATGCAGGAGATGGGCTACGGCAGTGCCCCCGACTTCACCGAGGGCTCCTACGTCGGCCAAATGGACATCTTGGGCACCCAGGACGGCGGCCGGCGCATCACCACCGCTCGCTCCCACCTGCGCAAGGACACGCCCAATCTGCACATTCTGCGCCACGCCCACGTCAAGCGGCTGAACCTCAACAAGCAGAATCGCGCCGAGAGCGTCACCTTTGTGCATCGCGAGAAGAAGGAGTACACGGTGCTTGCCCGCAAGGAGATCATCCTGTGCGCCGGCGCCATCGGCTCCCCCCAGATCCTGCTGCTCTCAGGTGAGTCCCCCGGTGCCGCCAAGGTTACATTAGTGTCAGTCATCCAGATGCATGCAGGGCTGGGCCTCGTTCCCAGGCTTCGTGCGGCTGCCCACGATTAGATAGCTGAAGCACAGTTTATGACATCTGATATCAGGCCCCCAAACACCGCTCCAAAGAGTCACATTGGCAAGGTCGCGCATACAATTTTATGATTGGTCAGGCAGTGCACATACTCGAGCGAACGAAACTAACTATATATTCCCCCGTGCCGATAAGCCCGGACAAGTCATTGTGGAAATTTGGTTCGATTTGGGCAGATTAGGGAGCGGAAAGTTTGACACAATAAAAGGGAGCCTTGAAACGATCCGAAGACTCTTGAAAGCGATCAAAGAAATCAAAGACCATGACAACAGAATGCCAAAGAACTCTTCAGTGGATCAGCTTTTCAGCTGTTTTCAGCCATTCAGTCAGCCAGAATGCCAGAAAAGATGTCTAAGATGTAGTGCAAGGGAATATGGAAGAAACCCGTGGGTAAAGGGTAATTTAGATGGGAACCCCTCAGTGGCAAAACAATCAAAAAGATTGCCTGAATAATCCCAATATGAGGTCCCATGAGAAAGTAGTTCGAGAACTATTTGAACAAAAAGTACTTTTTGTATTATTAGGGAACCAAATAAATATCTGTATATTAATCACATTTGCATCTGCAGGCGTTGGACCCGCTGATCATCTGAAGAGCGTGGGAATTCCCGTCAAACTGGATCTGCCCGTGGGCCACAACCTCAAGGATCATGCCAGCCTACCGGTGATCTTCCAGATCGACAAGTCAACGGCCCGCAAGCCCACCGAGGAGGAGCTGGTGGACGCCATGTACAACCTGCTGATGGGGCGCCACAGCAAGCTGCTGCATCACGAGGCCACCGCCCTGACGGGCTTCATCAACACAACCTCGGTGGAGGGTCCCAATCCGGACATCCAGACGACCAACTTCTTCAGCCTGATGCAGAGCCCGGAGCTGAAGGGCTATGTGGCAGCCACCGGATTCAACGATCGCGTGGCCAGGAGCATACTGTCCGCCAACCAGAAGTCCAACACGTACATCACGTACCTGCTGCACCTGAAGCCCTTCTCCGCCGGCCGCCTCGAGCTGCAGTCGAAGAACTACCTGGATGCCCCGCTCATCGATCCCGGCTACATGACCGACGATAGGGACGTGGACACCTACATCCGGGCACTGAACATCTACAAGCGCCTGCCCGAGACGAAGGCCTTCAGTGAGCGCGAGGCGGCTCTGCACAAGGTCGATCTGGCGGCCTGCAACGATATCCGCTACCAGTCGGACGACTACTGGCGCTGCTACATCCGCCACATGACCACCACCGTCTACCATCCGGTGGGCACCACCAAGATGGGTCCCGCCGGCGATCCCACGGCCGTGGTGGACGCCCGTCTCAGGGTCCACGGAGCCAAGGGACTGCGCGTGATCGATGCCAGCATCATGCCCGACATTGTGGGGGCCAACACGAACGCTGCCTGCATCATGATCGGCGAGAAGGGTGCGGACATGATCAAGGAGGATTATCAGCAGCACACCGAGCTATAAGCTCAACGATATTCATAGCATAGATCAACCGTTGTTTTTTTTTTTTTTTTGTCTTTTCTACTTATTAATAAATATATAATTAACAGCTGAAGGATTGCAAAAATATGCCACAAAAATGTGAATTAGTTATTTACTAGAGATTCCCAGGCATATTCCCTGGATATATGTACCTTGAATCTCGATCCGATCTTCATCAAAAATATTTATGTTGGACGACCAAAAAGCCAACAGGCACGGAACTCCCCATATCGATATAAAATATCATTTCTATTGAGACCACATGTATTTTACACATAAACTACATGTATTTTACATGATCAGCTAAGATCAGTCAGCTCAGTGCTACTCAAACCCAAACTGTGTGGTTTAGACCTTGGCTAAGGTGGATGGGTCACAGATGGTTACTTTCTTTGCTATGCAAATGGTTTGTTTCTTGGCTTATGTAATACGTATACGCAGTGTTATATGTATTAACGCCTGATTTACAGGAACTAGAATTTATAGATTGGTATAACTGATTTTCAAAGAGCATCTAAACTGTTCCTTTGAATGCCGTGGAAATTTCTTGCTAAAATCAGGAATACAATCTTTTAGCGACTGCTCAAAAGTTATCTGCTACTTCTGATTATTGTTACAGAATGTGGAATATCCCCGAACCAGCTAAGGAACCTTCTTAGACTAAAATTTACCCTTTTGAAAGTATAAATAATACCGGGAAAAGAAATTCTAGTCAACATCATGACGAGCCGACCCACACAGTAGAGCTTTCCGCGAACCTTAGCCGGAGGCTGCGTGATCTGGACTACGACACCAAGTGGAATTTATTCGTGAATAAACTGCCCCATCAGCATTGCACAGCGGGTGTAATGAATCTGGCCGATACCCGGCCTCGTTTGCGGCTTCAGTTGGTTGCCGTTGCTGGCCCCTCAGCTTGTTCCATTTTGATTGACAGCTTTCACTTTTCGCTCGGTTCGTGTGTGTGTGTGTATTTTATTTTCGGCTAACCAAACTGGAGTCCGGCAAATAGCTGATTACCGATTGCTTATTGCTCATTGTCCACTGGCCAACGGGCGCAATTCAGGCGCCACGGAGCGTGCCGAGCCGCAGCTTTTTCGGTGTTCATCTAATGGCTTTTGCCGTGCATACCAAACTAATCATAATTAATTGTTGGCCAAGTGGTTGACGAGCGATGCGACGCATGGGACCCCCAGTGGCTTCCAGCGCAGGCAGTGGGTGGCGGATGGATAAAGTGGCCCAAAGGGGACGCAATTATGTAATGAAAGTGTGAATTGCTTTGCTGATTGACAAAAGATAGCGCGCACATACAGCTATAACCAGATCAATTGGCACACCTATTGCATGTACAGTGAGAGGGAGAGGTCAAAAGGATAGCGATGCAGGGAGAGAATATACTCCGCAAAATTCAGAGCAGTGTTTGATGTGTTAGTCACCAGTTCATGCCACGCAGATTTCAGAATGCAGTGCCACTTAAAGGCTTCAAGAGAGGGAGTTCTAAATTCTTCAAGTCCCATTAGATAAACGCAAACTCAAAGTCTTATTTAATATTCACAAATGAATCCACTATTTTGGCTACCAAAATACTCATGAGAAACCCAAACCTCCCACCACATCGCAGCGGCAAAATTCAATTAGGAAATCATAATTTAATTAATAGTTACGCTCAGTGTGAAAGGTTGCCACTCCCCTACATGTTCCACTAACCTGCACAGGCCCCCGCACCCCGCCGTGCCACTGGCCCCTTCGTGTGTTACATTCCCCCCCCGCGCCATTACGGAACAATTAGCAGGCGGCACGTAATAGGCGACTCTCGCCTGCCTGCACTTGACCAAGACCAGGTAGCAAATGGAATCCAATTAAACGAAATCACTCAAGATGTGTGCCCGAGAGCCCTGAGGGGAGAGCCTGAGTGCGACTCTCACAAATAAAAAATAACCAAAAAAAAAAGAAAAAGATCAACCATTTGTGCAGTTTAGGCAAGTGATTAGATGAGAGATGCTCATTTGCTGCCACTGCCGCTGTCGGTGGCGCTACTGCTGAAGTAGCCCGCTGTCTATCCACGTCTCCGAGTGCGTGGCAACCTACATAGGTAGGTAGGTACTCTATGGGCTCGTATACTCTAATGGTGAACGGTGTATGGTGTATGGCACACGTAGGGCAAAGTCGGCCACACTCGACTGCCGACAAGATGTACGAACCGAGATAGAAATTGGGGATGGGCGCGTGACAAGGTTATCGATACACGATATGGATAATTGACGAAGTAATTGGAGTTTTGAGAACATATTAGAAGCCATTTCATGTACATAGTTCTGCAATAAATATACTATCATGCGAGCATAGAATTTCCCCACAAGATGCAGAGATCGATAGACACTCTTCCCAGAGAAAAACCTCGTGAGGGATCTTGTGTACCTCCCTTTTCATGGCATAGAACTGATCTTGCCTGGGATCGACAGGATCCCTTGGCAGTGATTGCAAACCCAATCACGAGGCCATCGCTAGGAGAGTTACACGGCGCACTGGCTGATGTTACTCCACATGTACATGGCTTCGTTTCTTGCATTTGTCGTTTAATCAAGTTCATTTTGTTTCAGTGAGTCAAGTACAGTCAGAGGCACAGTCATACATACATACATACATACGTGCATGGGCATGGGCATGGGCAGATGACACAGCAATAAGACACAGCAGGCGGACACTGAACGGGTGTACCGATGGACGGCTGGGGATGGCAGTTATGTCACCCCACAGTTATCTTTCTTCTACGGGGATGCAGGTAAGGGGGGGCCAGGCAGTAGATCTCTTGAACGCCTCTACACTTTGTTTTTGGCCAACTTGTCCAGCTTTGTCTTGTCCTCTACTATTTTCACTTTTAATTGCCTTCGAGCTAAATTTCGTTTGTTTATTAGGCAACCGCCCCAAGAGAAATATTGCGTCCCCCACATGCCTCCAAGCATCCCATCGTGGAACCGTGGCCGCGTTCAGCACTTCGTAAGTGCCGGAAATTGTCCGCCATAAGGCCCAAGTGCGCGGTGTGTAAATTGAAATTGTGGCGGAAATCGCTGATTGGATTGGGTTGGCATAGAGCTCTGGGAACCCAAAGAGAGGGTTGTGGCAGCATAATTTTGCTGGAGTGCTGGAATGCGTCTTTAGAATGGATGCGAATGCATAGAATATAAGACTTAAATTCGAATTAAAAGCAGTACCAAAATTATACTCCATTCACGGTACAGAGGTACATACCATACGTTTCCTTGGGCTGCCAACTCGTCAGAAATTTCATTCGCTATTTATTAACGACTCCTTCGTTACAATAAACCACTCAAGATCTAATCAAAGGCATTCCCAAGATCAATCAACGCTTAGGTCCCACCACATAGCCCTTGACCATACTAGGCCCTGGGGATGGGGATGGGCCTGGGCCTCGCCTAGGGCTAAGCTAACAGTGTCATCAAGGTAAGACAAAACACAAACAAAGTTAGAGTTTGAGTTAGAGTTAGAGATAGAAAGACACACAACTCATTGTAGGGGGAAAAAAAAATAGAGTTTGACAAGTTTATTTTTGGTTTTTATTGTCAAGTTGTGTTTATTTGGCGGGAAGGCTGGAAAGGGGGGCGGGCGGGCGGGCGGGCGAGTTTCCTCAAACACATTCGGGACGGGGAAAACTGGCAGTCCAACGCAGTTCACGTGACCTTGCCCCATTAGCGATAAGAAACGAAAGAAACAGAAAAAAAAAGAAAAGAAACGAACTTGCGATATATCAAACAATCGTCACATCATGGATGGTCGGATTATTTGCGGGCATTTCATTTTGTGCGACTTTCGTCATTCCTACAAGCAGAGAAGAGAGAGAGAGGGAGAGAGAGACATATAGTAGGTGGTAGAGTAGACCGATTGAGACATGGCCCCCAACTACGAGTTCGATGATTGTGTCAAGCAAACACAGTCACAACACACAGTCCAAAGCAATTGTCCGAGGCAAACATCAAGGGCTGGTGCTGGTGCACACGCTTGCGATTAGAATTGCTGTGAAATTGATTTTCTGGTTCCGAAATGGTTTAACGTCGCCGATTGGTTCGACACCTGCCACAGCACAGCCATAGATCATTGCCTAGATCATGGGAGCAATCGCCGCAACGCAGAACCGTGGCGCATCGGTGACGCATCGACACGCTCCAGATCTGTATGAATATTTTTTGCGGCTATACGAATCCATAGAAACTCTAGCGCTGGCACAAATTTGGCTGCTTTTCTCTGTCTCTCCCTCTCTATTCATGCCTACAAATGTCCACCGGATTGATATTTTAATAATTGAGAATTGAGAGCTGCAAGGCATCGATCTGTATTAATTGCATGCGTTAAGGATACAAATCCTGTGCATTTATTATTGGTAGTAAAAATCAACAATGAAACCAGCAACAGATTCAGCAGGGGAAACCACCGATGTCTGTCTTTAAAGATTACCCATTTCCCGATAATTAAAAAAAAAAAAAAACCAGAGCAATTTCGGTTTTCACTCAGCAACAACAACAAAGAAAAAACTAGTTTTGGTTAATTTCCATTTTGTATTGCTCGTGATGACAATTGCTTGGCTGGAGCTTTGTCAATTACGGTGCGATCTCTTGGGGCACATATCGATGGGTACAAAAATCGAAAAAGCCGAAAAAAACCGGTTAAGCCATCCACTCGAAAAAATTGCCAGAAATTTCACTTGAATCTCCGCTTTGATTGAAATCTTCTTCAATGCCAAACGCAATGGATATTGGTTCCGCCCGGAGCAGCCTGACGCTGCCTGCCTGCTCTCTCTGCCCTCTGCCTCTCTCTGTCTCCACCTGCACGTGTCAGGTGGCTTACGTGAGCAAAAGCAACTGCACAGCGGGACGGCCTGACTGGAGAGCGCACATAACTGTCAAGCGAGCATGAAGGTCGTCTGTGAAGTAAGTCAGGGCACGTGAAGACCACAAATGCCAGAGCGAGGCAGGAGCTGGTGGTCCACCGCGTAACCGTTTCGCAACTCACAGCCACCGCAAGCACATTGCCAAACTGCCAAGGAACCGGGCAAAAATATATACATAGAGATAGCGAGAGAGAGAACGGGAGAGAGACCGGGACAGCCAACGGAGCTGCAGCTCCAATCGGTTATCGTTTGGCAACGGCTGTCAGCAGCAGCTCCAGCAGCAAGCAAAGGAAGAGCGTTATCCAAGCAGGATCCTGTTGAGGCAGTGCCCAGCAGGAGACTAATCAGCGAGTGCAGCAGCAGCAGCAGGCAGCAGGCAGCTAGGTACATACGCAGGTTGTCGAAGCACCGAGAACAGGAGCACATGTCATCGCCATACGCGAATGATAAATAAGTGAAAATTCTCATATGACGCGTTCGCGTGACTCGTAGGGAACCTGTAGCTGGCTCCTACAGGAGGCAGGGCACATGTCCTCGCCATGCGTAAAATTTGTCATATGACGCGGGGGAAGAGCCCAGCATGAGTCCACATAAACGACAGGAGCCATGTGCGTGAGGGTTATACAAGCAGGACACGTGTACACGTGACTGCAACTCACGTTTCCGATCACTCGAAGGAATTAAGCAGCTTATTCTGTCTCCAGCAAATCAAGCGATTTGGATCTACTCGTTTCGCCACGAGTATTATCAAAATATCAAGCTGAGAGTCTTGGACAGATTATTGTCATTGCTTCAGAGTATCAATGATCACTAAAGAAGCCCCCACAGAGAGAGAGAGAGACACAGAATATATAAGAATAATTATTATTTATAGTTCCTCATTTTGAATATTTTTGAAGGAATATTTTTAACTAAATATATAAATAATATCAATATAATGGATATTATTGATTTTTTATTTTTATTTATTTATATTTTTATTAAAATGTTAAATAATTTAAATATATTATATTATAAAATTTTAATAATATCAAAATATAATGGATATTATAGATTTATTTAGTTATTATTTATATTATTAAAAATATTAAATAATTTAAATAGTATTTATATTTATAAATATTTTTAAATATTATTTAAATTACTTAAATATTTTTAATAAAATAAATAATAAATAAATAAATCTATAATACCCATTATAGCCTTAGATCTTTGAATAGTTGCTAGATTTTTTTTTTTTTTTTTAATTTTATTTTTAAATACTATTAAAATATTTTTATATTAAACTTATAGCTTTAGATCTTTGCATATTTGCTAATATACATTAATTGGAATGGTCATACTGTGGTCATACACAAAGGCAGTTTGGCTGGTGTTCAGCAGCAGCCCAGCATATCATCATTCAATGGGCACAAGTTTCGTCGCTGGACACACACTTTTGGTACTGCATGCAAGAACTACTCTATTGGCCGGGCAACTTGTGATTCAGCGATGAATAACTAGTTTCCCGCTGCTGGAAAGGCATACAAATTCGATGAGTGCGGGGGGCGGGCAGGCAGATACCAGACAGGAGCACCATTGGCCAAAATGGTAAGCGTTTTGCAATGCCAAAGCCAGCGCATACGCTCTCAGCCGCAACCGTAACAGAAGCAGCACAAAAGGAGTCCCCGTCCCAGAGTACAGCCAAGAAGAGTTATACGAAGCCAATGATACCCTTTCTTTAAATGGATAACTATTAGATATGTATAAATATAAAGGGTATAAATAAACTCACAAGTCTATGGGCTCTTGAGTTTGTTTGAAATATCAATTGGCAGGGTTATGTACGAAAAAAAGCGAAAGGTGCCCTTCGAAAGGGTATAAAAAAAACATAAGTAACGATAGAGAGTGAGAGAGTGAGAGAGTGAGAGAGAGAGAGAGAGGTAAAGAGTACAGAGCACACGCTCTCAACCGCAGCAGTTGCCGTCATTGTCGCAGTCGCAGTCGCAACCGCCACAGAAGCAGCGCAAAAGGAGCTCCCAATAGCAGCAGCAGCAACAGCAGCAGCAACAGCAGCGGCAGCAGCAGCAGCCAAAAGCAAACGGGAACGCATGGCTGGGGCCAAAGCTGCGACGACTGCTGCATCGCACATGCGCAACTGATTGTCCGACGCTGGCATCGCTGCCGCTGCCAGTGCCGCTGCCAATGCCGTTGCCGTAGCCGCCTTGCAACAAGAAAGCTTGCAAAGCGGCAGACGCCAGTCCCCTGCCCCCGGACTCCGTGCCCCTCCCGGCCACAGGCCAGAGCCCGGCCAAAAGCAGCAAAGACAAAACGTCGCACACGAGTTGCTTTTGTGGCTCAGAAGAGCAGCGACAGCCAGACGAGGCGGATGGCCTAAACGAAACGAAGAGCAACGCGCGGCCCAAACGAAACAAAAAACCAAAAGCCAACAACAGCCACAGGCCACAGGCCACAAGCCACAACAATTTCTATTACAATTGATATTTATTTTTGTTTCTGTTGAGTTTAGTGTTTAGTGAGTGCGTTTTTGGTACTTTATTTTTTATTTTTTTTTTTTGTGTGTGTGTCGATGCCTGAATGAAAGTGCACAACCGCCAATAACAATAATAAATAAAGTGAACAGAAGTGATTGTGAACGTGCAATAAGACTGCCACTGCCCCAGAGACGGCACCAGAGACTGCGACTGCGACTGGCTACTCCGACTGTCATCACTGTGATCGTGACGAGCGAATGAAAGTGTGCCAGGCTTTCGATACATTCTAAGCGGGAAATGTGTTGACTGGGAAAGTACAGAGCCAAAAGGAAAACCAAAAACAAAACCAAAACCAAAACAAGCTCAAGCCCGTGGAAGGCCCGCCCCGTCCAGTCCCCATCCCATCGTCCCAAGCACCCATAGACCCCATTCCACTGCACTCCAGATCCAATCCCAATCCAACGAAAAACCTAGCCCAGATTCACAACCGAAGTAGCTTCCAACAGCAGAATGGTTGTTGTTCCCGCTTTGGGCGCCGCTGCCCTATCCGTGGGTGGGCTCCTGTTCAAGGCCAGCAGCGCTGCCTCAGCGGGCGCGGCTGCCGTGGGGGCCTCCTCGCTGGGCCTGGCCATAGCCGCAGCCACCAATCTGGCCACCGCCGTCGTGGGCGTGGGAAAGCTAACCATTCTGCCCTTCCTGATCGCGGCCATCGCGTACTACAACTACGATCTGTTCGACCCAGAGAATCGGCCGTTCAATGTGCCGCAGGTGGACCAGGCCTACGACTTCATCATCATTGGCGGCGGCTCGGCGGGCACTGTGCTGGCGTCGCGACTCTCCGAGATCAGCCACTGGAAGATCCTGCTGCTGGAGGCTGGCGGCCATGAGACGGACATCTCGGATGTGCCACTCCTCTCGCTCTATTTGCACAAGAGCAAAATGGACTGGAAGTATCGGTGAGTAAGTGGGTCTAAGCCGGGTCAAAATGGGTCAGGCTCTTGGCCTTAGCAGTGGCCCAGTTTCAGCTGTTGTCACTGGACATTTTGTTCGCTGTTTCCCTTCAGTTTTCCGCGTCTGCTTCTGCTTCTGTGTCTGTTTTTGTTTTTGTTTGCACCCTCCTATTGCTCAGCTTTTGAGACCGAACCAAATGACTTTGGCCCATTCTGGCCGCAGCTAATGCAAATCTCTCCCCAAAGGGTGCAGAGGCAGACCATCGTTTGCATATGGAATAGACCAAGAGACACGTGGAGTTGAGTCGCGTCCAGACGGAGGCCAGAGCCCCGATGGCAGAAGGCCGGATTCGTTTAGTTAGCAACTGGCTGCCAAATTTCAAATTACTCGTATTTGCCAGAGCTCTTTTCACACGCAAATAGCAAACGATTTCGGCACTCGGCGAAGCAAAGGGAAAACGTAGATACAAATTGAGTCACTAGTACGAGTATTTCAAACATATTTCACACAGCAATAAGCGGATCTTGAACGGATGTCAGCTATCTGTCAGCTATACAAAAGGATACTGCTGATACTGCTGACTGCAATAACGAATTGAGCTCCCAATATTGAATCATCAGTTCATTACTAACCCAATCCATGCACTGGTTCTGCAATGGCAGCATCTGCTGCGTCCATATATTCTTTCATCAGTCCACACATCCCTTTCATCGCTGGTAATATCTTCAAACTTACAATTGGCTCACTCTTCACTAGTAAATCATTCAAATGCATCTCCAGATTATTTTTATCCTTCTAGAGTCTAGAGTTTTATTGCTAATTGCTTGGATGAATACATTTCCGATGTTTTCTTCATTCTAAGCCTTTTTTTCCCAGCTTCTTTCTTATTCTTTCTTCTTTCTTTGTTCACATTCAATGGAAATGATACTTCCTCTCTCCCCTTTCTAAGCCCTGTCTTGTTGGTGTTCCCTCTTTTCCGTTCGTTAATTCATTGACAACATTCCTGAAGAGCTTTTAAGATCTGTGGCTTCTGTTCCCATTTCCCATTTCTCAGATCATTCCTTTTTCCACTGCCCAATCCACTCCAGTTCAGGCCAGTCCACTCCGCGCTCCAGAATGTTCCAATTAGATACAAATTCGGATAGATGTTTACCACATTTACCGCATTATGCGCGTAAAAACAAAAACCCAGCATCATCGGCTCAGCACGATCATCTCGATGATGCTGATCATATCTTCTTTCTCTGTGCATTTCAACAGCAATTAAATGCGGCCTTATACGGCTGCTTAACAGACAGTTCGGTTAACAATAAATGGAAAATTGTTACCGCCAGATGCTGTGACTGATTCAAATTAGAACAGGCTACCGTTAGGAAGAGCCCAAGCCCCAGGCAAATGCAGAGGCAGAGGCTCCACCTGGGTTTGGGGTTGGGTCTGGATTTCTGTTTCTGTTGCGGTTTCGGTTTCGATTTGAACAATTTTCTATCTCACGGCATTTCGGTGGCTTCATTAGCGAACAGCTGATGATGGCGTTGGTTCCCCACCTGTTGCTACGGCTACCAAAAATCTATTGCTGCTGCTCAATTATTCATGAGTTTTTGGCATTTTCGGAGTTTTTTTTGGAATGTTTGTTTTGTGTTTTTTTTGTTAGCCCTCGCGTGTCTCGTTGAGACGCGCGTTACCAATACCGTAATCCATTTAACTGTTTAATGGTTTGGGCTGGGTCCGAGGCCTAGCGGCGATTTTGTTTTCGTTTTATCTTCTTCTCTATCTCTGTATGCCCCCCCAACTCTTCTGCTGCCATGTAGTTTCACTTTCAGAATTCCATATCCATTAGCATTCCCATTATCATTCGTGTTCCATTTCCATTTCATTTCATTTTGCGTAATTTAATGCAATCGCCGGGTCTGAGTGCATGCGAAAAATGGAATGGAAACTGAAACTGAAACTGAAACAGCAACAAATTTTAAGTGCACCGAACAGTGAGTGTGGGGCAACAAACGAGTGTGTTTCTAAATCATTGCATCATTCAGGGTGGCCTGATCCGGGACTGGGTTTGGGGCTGGGACTGCGACTGGGTCTGTTGCTTGGAGAGCAGAGCCCGTGCCTGTTTCGTCTGAATGTAGATTGTGCCTGTCTATCCTCTCGTCCAGGCCCGCTCTCCATGGCCAGTCAGCTGTGACGCTCATGGGATCTGGTAAAATCGATCGCAAGTGGCAGAGACAGCAGAGATACCCTTACAAAAAATTAATATAAATACATAAAAATGCATAGATATACGCATAATATAATTTTTCTTTTGGGTAGAATTTCGAAATGAATATTTCAAATACAACAAATACAGCCAGATATATAAAATCAACGAAATTCTGCAGTAGTTTTTCCATAACTAATTCTTCAATAAAGCAATCCCAATATCTATTGGATCCAAGATCCAAGCAACTAACCATGAGATCTTTATTCAAAAACAGAGAGGTTTAAAATTCGTAAATTTTTCTGATGAAAACAATAGCACCCCCTTTTGCAAGGGTATACAAAATATGTACTGCAATTCGACTGCTCAGGTGCATTTGCGAGTGTTTCTCTGCAGGTATTGGTGAATGTTGGAGTGTCTAAAAAGCCGCTTTATTTGGCCTTTTACTGGCGTACAGCAGACAGCCACAGAAAACGGGAAATTCAGTATGCTGCACTCAGCTGCAACGAAATTGAAATGCTCGCAGTGCTCGTTGGAATCACTCACACAGATCCACTCGCTTGATTGATACCCGTTTCGGTGTCGGTGTCGGCGTCGGCGTCGGCGATTGAATGCCTGTGATTCATCGGCAAAGGAAAAGTTTCTCTTGTATGTGAAAGCCACAAATCGAAGTCATCAATTTATTCATTTCAAGTTGTTGTGGTTTTTTCCTCTCTTATGTTGTTGTTGTTGTTGTTGTTGTTGTTGTTGTTGTTGTTGTTATTGTCCATTTGTCGGTGGTTCAGTGTCAAATTTGTGTGGTTCAAGGTCGCGGATAGAGTCAATCAATGAGCAGGGGCACTTTTAGGAGTTCATTTGAATGAATCCAGTTGCAAAGGATAGCCATAAATTGAACCATCTGAGACCACAATCAATATCCAATATCATACCCATAAATGCCCAATCCGATATAAAGGATATTACGTATTGGACTATAGGACACTACGTAGCTAATTAATTTTACGCATTCGACTATGGGGAAGTGCTATAAAATATTTGCATTACGTATCCGATGAGCGGGTTGGATTCCATCAAAGTTATTTCTACTTACGTATGCGTATTGCGATGGTCCGTCCACAGGTGCCAATCAACCCGAAAGAGAATAAGTGATAATGAAGCCAGCCAATGGGTGGGTGTATCCAAAGAGTTTCAGGATAAATACATCAAACTTTACGACTTGCCGAGTGCAAATATTTCACAACAAACATAAAAAATGTGCAACTCGTTTGCAAGCCATTTGGGGGGTGGGGTGGGCTGACAACAACAAACAATGGCTGCAATAGTAGTAAAATTTACTTGTTCTACTATTGACTTGATACACGCAGAGATGATTAGCCAGACAAACGTGGCTCCAAAACTTGGAGAGGACAGAGTCAGAGGAGCGATCGTCGGAGTCTCGTTAACCCCCAAAAGCCCAAAAGCAACAGAAATTCCACTTTCTGGAAATTATGCAACTTGAGCGGGAGAGACGACCCTCGACGGCCAGGCCAACACTTATTAATGTCATCGTCATCGCTGAGCAGTGTTCGTTAATGCCAAATAAACATAAGTACATATGTACATATGTATATATATGTATGTATGCACTCGTGTGTAATAAATGTTGGGGTGTCCACGCCCCTTGACGGATTTAAGTTCGGTCTCGGATTCCAGCTGCAGGCGGATGTCTGTTCGGCCTGTCCGCTCTCAGGTCGGGATATCCTATGCCAATCCAATTTCCCAACTCCAATAGCACTTCGAGTGCTGGCCAAACCGGCTTGTCCGACGTGATAAAGTGGGTTAAGCGGTTACAGGTTTGCCGCCATGGAACTGGCACGAAACGGAACGCAGCGAAACGAATTGAAATGAAACGACGCTCAGATACTTTGCATCGCGCAATTGCACCTGAATACTCGTACTCGTACTCGTACTCCTACTGTTGCCAATCGAACAAGAGAGAAGAAACAACAACAACAACAGCTCAATGCGTGATACGTGAGCCAGTTTCGGCGACAGGCATCACTGGCTACGTCATACGCCACCGCGATATGTGTCAACTGAGTAATAAAATAAATAAACAAAAAAAAAAACAATCCATAATTGTTTCATGAACTTTTTGTTTTGTGGAGTTCCCAAAAAAAGGAATAGCAATAATCGCTCAAAGGAATGCTGCAATATGATTTGACTCAATCGAAAAATAAATATATGTGTAACACTCCCCGAGTAAGAGCCTTATGGTGCTGTTAATATAATTCACACCCATGAAATATGTGTTAAAAATTATCACATATTCATAGAAATGTAATCGCCTGGATTGAATGGGGAAAAAAGAAACCGAAATGGAAATTTAAGGGAATTAACGGCACACCGATCGCGCAATGAATATCGAAAAACCCCTTCAGGCTGTAGACCTTGTACATATTTAATGTTGAGTCGTATAGGTATATTATAGGCCTATACTAAAAATTCAGATACATAAAACTAAAATTTTTCTTCTGAGATTTGCTTCTAAGCGTGTTGTCCTTCCATGGAACACTTCAGAGCTTCTTTGACCTTTTACACAAATGTGCCAACAAAATACCGAAATAATCGTGGTTGCTTCACATATTTAAGTACCTCTTTAGCCACTCATCTTGCAATATGTACGAATAATTTTCCTCATCATTTATTTGGCACATACTCGTATCATCGCTTGACTTCAATGACATTTCCATTAATAAATCGTTTGATTTCATTTGACTGGTGCCGTTTACAGCTTAATGCAGCCGTTAAATGATTTTATAAGGCAATCAACAGTTGTTCCATGTGAGCGCATTAATCCCCCCACCCCCGCCCCGCCCCGCCCCGCCCGGACGCCATTCGTGGTTTGGGGTAGCCCGACAAAGGCCTTAACCAACATTCGGCTAACGAGCATTAAACAATTACGAAAATAATGCAATCAACTCTCATTTCGGTATTCATATGCATTTCACAAGCAGCAATTATGCTGCCCCTAATGCCTGTTCCGCTGCCACAGTTCCGTAATTCTCAAAAGACCTTTGCACTATACATATTGTATGTTCTTCTGCACAGATCTGATCTTCATGTCTCTACAGATTAGTGGAAATGTTTTGTCTCTGTTCCAGCATCTATTTGTTTGATAAATATCAAATATTTCGGAGCTACCCAACCTTACGTAAATTGCATTTATTCTGAAGCTTTTCTATACAGGTAGAATAATGAAATGAATACTGAAAATGGGACATGGAGAATTCTTGTAAGTTCTTTCATAGAGAATGGAATGACTGACGTGTGTAAAAATGTAAGAATTCGTACGAACGATCGAAATGTGTTAAAAAATATCCTTCTGTTTCGATTCAAAAGATGAATGAGATATCTATATATCCTAATCGTTTATTCCCTCGATATCTTGAAAAGTATTTCACTTAAAGATGTGTCCTGTACAGGAACTATAGCCACTTTTATTCCCAAACGTATGATAATGTTTCCACTTTTCTGCTTTCCATTCATTTCCCTCCCACCGGGATCTCGACTACGCCACAGAAAAAACAAGAGTAAATAAACAGCGAAATGAGCTAATAATAATTTGCATCGTTTATGTGAGTTAACTGTTAAATGGCTAATAAAAGGAAAAGAAAAAAAAAACAAAACAAATTGCGTCAGTTGGGCGTCAAATGGAAGTCGAGGCCGGAGTTGAGGCGAAAGTTGTATTTCTTTCTCTATTTGTTCGTATTTAATACCGACGCTTGCAGCGGGTACAATGGCTTAGACCAGATGTTTGGCCACACCTAGAAGGAAGCATCTTCGATGGGACAATGGTCAGAAAATGTCTCTGTAAATAGGCAAAAGCGTACCATAAATTGAAACACATCTGGCAGGAGCAGCCCTTGCACATTATTCTTTGTGGCTAGCCGTAACAATCCACCTGAAAGGGTATCACAAACTTCGTGGCCCCAGAGCTGGCATTTCACTCTTGTTTTCTCCCGCTTTTCACTTCAGGCGGCACCTGTGTCTGTGCTTGTGTGTGGAGCACGTAGCCAATAAGTTACTATGCCGAGCAATGTGGCACAGTGGGGTTACGGTGGGACTGGGGTTCGTCGGTGTCGCGAATTGATATTAATGGCTCGTCATCGTCGCGTGTGGCTCGGCCCCGGGGCTCGGTCTGGGGTGTCCGCGGGGTTAAGGCAATAGGAAATATTCATAGCCGATCCACCGACAGCATAAATCACCGAGCAACAGGTAGACAGATGAGATGCGATGCGATGCGATGCGACACAATGCATGTCATATGCTAATTAGCCTCACCCTCACCCCACATACCCCCACCTTCACCTGCACCTCCACCTCCACCTGCACCTGCACCTGCACCTTCACCTGCCCCCCGATGGCAGGTGTGAATCAATGGGGCAGATAAGATGAAAATGCCATCCAAGCGAATGATGGGGCATGGACTAACTAATCTCTCTCTTTCTCTTTCTCTGTCTCTCCCTCTCTTTGGGCACGCTTTTCTCCACGGCATGTTAGCCACATCATTTCGATGGGGTTTTTCCGCACGCTGCAATTTAATTTCCGTTTGTTTTGTCATCTTGATTGGCGGTGCCTGTCGCCCGTAATTCGTATCTTCATTTACCACGAAAGTCTTCCTATGTCTTTAGCTCATTCCGGGGGATCGATCGGGCGCGCTTCCAAGGAAACCAAATCGGAATCGGAACGGGAGCGAAACGAAACGGGACGGAACAGAAAAAAAAAAAAAAACCGATACTTGTAATTGTCAAAACGTTTTGTTGACCAATTTGTTTCGTTTGCAGTGGATGTACTCACGCAATCGAAATATTTACGATATGAAATGAAAGATCATGCGGGATCAGACGGGAGAGGAGAGGGAAACGGAAAAGAATGAACGAGGATTATTTTACACTAAAATATAGAAATCAGTGGACCTTGAAATGCATTTTTTTTTTAGCTTTTCCTTTCCATTTATTGATTCGATTTACTTTTATTTGGTTTCATTTTATTATTGGTTTTCCATCATCTCTTGATACTTTCCGTACCGCATTCTATCCAACTTTATACCATCCTTGTACCACTGTGGAATATCCTTCCTTCTGCTCCAGCCATCCAGCCATCTAGCCATCTGGTCTCCAAATGTCTGCATCTTATACGAGTAAATCGCTTGGGCAATATCTAACAAAGTGCTCCAAGCCACTTCCAAGGCCCAAGGCAGTTACTCAGGCAGTTAAAACTAAATGCCACTCGATGGATACCCCAAAACCCATTGCGGTGCTACGTGAATGAAGAAGAGGGGGAGGCGCAAGCAGAGGTCGAATGGTTCATTGCCGCTGGGATTTTGCAGTGCCCTAATGAGCGTTTAACACTTCGCTCTCCCGTCGCTGTCGTTTCTCTTGCGGTGTCGCAATTATGTTGGCCACTGGTCAATCCGAGTCCGCCTCTTATCCTCTACTTATCCGACATGCCACCAGCCAGACTGGCTCTCCCAGGGAGGGGCTTGGCTAATGCGGCATTCATTGTCGCTTTATCGCTTTGTTGACTTGTTTATTATTATTTTTTTGATCTTCCTCAGCACCTCTCCGTACCTCTTCGTCTTGTTTCTTATTTTGCTGATTAATACTCGCAATAAAGCCGGCAATAATCCCCAATTGTTTTCTCTGGAGACTCAAAGAGACTCGACGTCTATCTTTGTGTCTGTCTGCCACAATCTGACTCTAGTTGTATTTGCATCACTGCCTCTGGATATATTTTGGTATCTCAATATTCATCTTTATGTATTTCAGCACCCAACCTCAGGCCACTGCCTGCCAGGCCATGAAGGACCATCGCTGCTGCTGGACACGGGGAAAGGTGCTGGGCGGCAGTTCGGTGCTCAACACGATGCTCTACATCAGAGGCAATCGCAGGGACTTCGACCAGTGGGCCGAGTTCGGCAATCCGGGCTGGTCCTACGAGGAGATTCTGCCGTATTTCCGCAAGTCCGAGGATCAACGCAATCCGTACTTGGCCAGGAATAAGCGCTACCATGGCCAAGGTAATCATCTGCCTTCCAGAGCAATTCTCAACTGAACTAATCTGCTGGTCTCTCCTCTAAGGTGGCCCCTGGACCGTGCAGGACGCGCCCTACAACACGCCCCTGGGCCCGGCCTTCCTGCAGGCCGGCGAGGAGATGGGCTACGACATCGTCGACGTCAACGGGGAACAGCAGACGGGCTTCGGCTTCTATCAGTTCAACATGCGACGCGGCTCGCGCAGCTCCACGGCCAAGTCGTTCCTGCGTCCGATCCGCCTGCGCACCAACCTGCACGTGGCCCTCTTCTCGCACGTGACCAAGGTGCTGACCGACCCCATCACTAAGCGGGCCACGGGGGTGCAGTTCATACGGGACGGACGACTGCAGAATGTGTACGCCACCCGGGAGGTCATACTGTCGGCGGGGGCCATCAGCTCGCCGCATCTGCTGATGCTGTCGGGCATCGGGCATGGGGACGAGCTGAATCGGTTCGGCATACCCCTGGTGCAGCACCTGCCGGGTGTGGGTCAGAACCTGCAGGACCACATCGCCGTGGGGGGCATTGCCTTCCTCATCGACTATCCCATATCGATAGTGATGAAGCGGATGGTCAACATCAACACGGCCCTGCGGTATGCCATCACCGAGGACGGTCCGCTCACCTCCAGCATTGGCCTGGAGGCGGTGGCCTTCATCAACACAAAGTACGCCAATGCCAGCGACGACTGGCCGGACATGAACTTCATGATGACCTCCGCCTCGGTGATGTCCGATGGCGGATCCCAGGTGAAGACCGCCCACGGGCTGAGCGACGAATTCTACCAGGAGGTCTTCGGGGAGGTCAACAATCGCGACGTGTTCGGCGTCTTTCCCATGATGCTGCGGCCCAAGAGTCGGGGCTTCATCAAGCTGGCCTCTAAGAATCCACTGCGGTATCCGCTGCTCTACCACAACTACCTCACCCATCCGGACGATGTGAATGTGCTGCGGGAGGGCGTCAAGGCCGCCGTGGCCATGGGCGAGACCGAGGCCATGAAGCGATTCGGGGCCCGCTTCTGGAGCAAGCCACTGCCCAACTGCAAGCACCTGACCCTCTTCACCGACGACTACTGGAACTGCTTCATCCGGCAGTACACGATGACCATTTACCACATGAGTGGCACGGCCAAGATGGGCCCGCCCAGCGATCCCTGGGCCGTGGTGGATCCCCAGCTGAGGGTGTACGGCATACCCGGCCTGCGGGTGATCGATGCCAGCATTATGCCCGCGATCACCAATGGCAATATCCATGCCCCGGTCGTGATGATTGGCGAGAAGGGGGCCGATCTCATCAAGCAGCTCTGGCTGACACCCAGCTCTGGGCCCTCGCCAAGAGCGGGACAGGGTCAGGGCCAGGGTCTCGGAAAGGTACAGGGACAGGGACAGGGCTCAGCCTCCACACGACCTCTATGGAGAGGCAAGCGAGCACTGATGTCGGGCAATGCAACGACCTCATTCACCGACGACCAGGAGGAGGCGACTCGTCAATGGCCGTTGCCCAGCTCGTAGCTGTGTGCTTTCAGAGTTCTTGGGGTTTAAATGGGGGCTTACGGGTGGGTGGTTCTAGGGTTCTGGGTTCAAGGTTGAGGGAAAGGGAAAGGGACTCAAAAGATCAGTGCGAGAGGTCGCGTTGCCTTAGCCGTTAGTTTAGCTCAAATTTTCGCGATTTCGAATAAATTTAATTTATTAAGCTTTAGTTTATTCCACTCTTTCCCCCACTACCCCCTTTCCTTTGCCTCATCCCACACCGTTCCCTAGCGGACTTAGTCTTAGTTAAGCGCTTCATGTAAATATCGAGTCATTTATGCTAATTTGTATGTAATTTTCATTTTTTTTTGCGTATCTTGTGTGTCTAATCTACATTTATACGTTATATATGTATGTATATGTATATGCTTTTTTTGTAATTTTTAGAATTTAATTTTTATCGTTTTGTTTGGAGCCGCGTACACTTGGAGTACCTCAATTAGTTTTTAAGTTTTGGCTGGAGAAGCATTCGATGTTTGCTTTCGACTAGAATAGAGTCATAAATTCAAGCGAGCACACAATAAACTGATATCGAAAATGGAGAAAAAAATATAGTTTTAATATAGTTTTAGAGCCACTTTACAGCTTAACAGAAAATGTTAATGGTTTATGAATCTACTAGTGGTTGTAAGCCAGACTAGTCTTGTCAGACCCTCATGGTTCGAAAACATAAAAGGAAATTCGATACTAGAAGAGTGTGCCGTGTAAAACAGTTTTGAAGCCACTCAAACAATGCCTCTCAATAGCCACATAAGATGTTCGTCCCAAGTTAGACAGCTTTAACTTCTTTCGTTTCGGACAGTAAAAGAATCAGCAGGTTTGAGGCCACTGGTATGACAGTTAGAAAGACACTGGCAATAGCACAGCTTGCTTTCCTGCAAGTTGAAAGCCCAAATGGATTGCCCATTATTGTAAAAGCTCATGGAACTCGTAATAAACTTACATCTTATTTATCCACGATAAATTTTTAAACAGGTGCCAGTTTTTCATTCATAGTTTGATATGCTGGAAGTACGTGAAAAAGCTTACCTGCAATGAAAGAAAAGAGGAGAAGATATTAGTTATCAAAGCAAATACAAAAACGGTTGAGGTATTTGAAATGTGAGCTTAAAGCTTAATGGTTGAAATAACTTTGAAAGCTTAGTCAAAGCCAAACATGACGGAGCTTGTCTTGACATAATCGACGCTAGACTTAATTAAATGCAAGACCAGAAGCTGCAAAGTGTTTCAAATGAAAGATTATTTGACAAATAAATAGAGGACGCATCTCATGCAAATAGAAACCCCATACAAATCTAAAGAACCCACAGAGAGACGATGGAGCTGTATTTATCCAGCTTAAGCCAGATTAAACCATGCCAAAAATGCGAATCAAAATTCAATTTTTGGCTGAAATGTGTAATCTGCAGAGGTGTCTGTAATCGCTGATAGGATGGACATATACACATGGGTATTATGGGATTTTGCAACACGAAAATATTGTGTAATCCGACGAATTTTTGTTCATGAATTAATTCTTCAAGCCCATAAGATAGGAGACATTGGGCATACATTTATTTGGGATGGTAGCGAATCTGTATGGACAAAACGGGTTATCTGAGAGCAGAATCGTAGTTCCCCTTCCTTGCCCAAATTCTTTGACCATTTTCCTTCCTTTACTCGTAATTTCCAGCAACTATTTGTGGGCCCCAAACACTCGTAAAAATAAAATGGAGTTCCTCATTGTGTCCAGTGATACAGCAGATACAGATACAGCAGATAATCGTACTCATGGATCGGTATCGGTGCAATTAGACGCGGTTAGATGAGTTAAAGCCAATGCCATAATCCATAATCCGAATCGCCTTGTGCCCAAAGCCAATTACAATTTGTACAATTACACGCTGTTTTCTGATGATTGCCATCGGGCACACATTTAAGGTGGTTCGAAGAAGTTAACGGTGCGTAGATACAATGGCTTATAAATATTTCCAGCTGCGAATACCATTTCATTCCGCTATCGGATTCGCATTGAATAATGCATTTTGGTGTGCGTCCAATAATTTGTTAACAAAATGCACTAAGAGAAGCCAAGCCGAGGAGGGTGCTATGGTGCTCTGTACCTCAGCTAATTACTCGCACTGTACCGATTACGACTTCGGCTATGGCTGTGGCTATGGCTATGGCTACGGCTGGTAGTCGGGTCGCGGAAACTGCCCATAAATCTGAGAGGCCCCAAAAGCTGCCCAGATAGATTCCCATTCCAGCGATCTCTCAAGTGCAACACATAAATATTTATATGCCATGGCTACAGACAAGGCGCAATGACCGTCCAAAAACAAAAATAAATATATATATTTATTTTCGCGGCCATCTCGACGAAAATGAAAGTTGCCCAAGTCGTTGGGGGCTTCTCACAGTTCCACCCCAACCCCATCTCGATTCCCAGCTCCATTTCAGTCCGCACCCACCTGAAAGACCCCTGAGGCTGTGTCAAGCTCTGCCTTTGGGGGCCCAACTCTTGGCCTGGTTGTCGGAAGCCGGCAAAAGAAATGTACGACTACGAGTACGAGTACGGGTACGGGTATGGGTACGGGTAAAAATACATAAGTAAATACGATCACAGCGGAACCAGCTTGTGGCTTTGTTGGGTGAAACTACAGCACCTCTGGCCCCACCACCTTGTAGCCCCCTTGCCAGACATTTATTTCGGTTTCTGTTGTTTTCGGTCTTTGCATAGAGCATAGAGCCCCCCTCAATGGGGGGCAATTGTGACTGCACCTGATAATGTTCGCAGAGTTCACAGAGTTGTTCAACTGTTTGACTCCACAAATGAATAAATTAATGAATGAACGAATGATCTGTGATGGAGGGTCTTGCCACCATTTCATGGCCTCGACTCACCTCGACGACCGAACAATCAACACAATGGCCAACTATGAGGCGGGTAAAAAGGGAAAATTCAGATAAACTGCTAATGTTCATTGAGAGAAGACTGAGCGCCAGAAGCCACAACTCAAGCAACTTCAAATGATGAACTTTAAGGATAAGAGGAAGAGCTAACGATACCAACATTTTGGGAGCAAAATCACCAGGACACCAACCAGAAAAGAAAGCATCGACACCTTAAAATGTGAGGGACGAATAAAAAATTCCAAATATTCCCCAAAACGAGTAAAAAGAAACAGAAAAAAGTTAAGAAGACTGAGAAAAGGTTGAAAATATATTTAGGCATAGACCTAGTACACATGAAACGGATTTAATATGATTATTATTGATTAAACGAATAGGAAATGGAGTACGAAACAGACACACCGGAAATCCCAAGCCTAAATGGGGCTTCTCTACGGCAACCTTTGCGGCCTCGGCATCGGCCTCGCTTGCATCGGGGAATTGGGAATCGTGAATAATGAAACAGTAAATTGATTGCCAGACTTGTAAAACGATGATCGTTGGCCAACGATTGATCGATCGATCGATCGAACGAACGAACGAGCGATCGCCTTTGGATGATCAGATTCGGTTTTTGGCTAAGCCAAAGAAAGCCTCCAAACCGGCCACTCTCTCTCCCTCTCTCTCTCTCTCTCTCTCTTTCACTCTCTCTCTCTTTGCCAACATCTCTTTTCCCATTCTCTCACTGTCTCTGTCCACGAATCGCTCCACTCTTCAGCCCTCTTCAGGCTCTTGCCATCAACTATTACACCATTGAGTCGCCTAGCCCGCGAGCTTTTGGAGCAGCTTAAAGCCACCCATTCCCATACAAAACGTTGAGCCGAGCACGTAGCGCACTCACAAAGACACGAAGACAACCCGAAGACAACCAAAGACAAACGAAACGAAAATGAAAACGAAAACGAAAGTGCAGTCGGGGACTTTGGTCATGGCAGCAGCAGCGTCAGAGCAGCTCTCTGCTGGCGGATACTCTTCCAACAGCAGAGTGTAAATTGGCTTTGCAACACAAGCAATGCAAGTGAGATCAAAGCATATACAAATTGGATTCCTGGACTATACATACTATATATAGGTAGAGAGACTTGAAGTTTACTTTTTGCCTCAGAAGATATTGCTCGTAATATATACATATATGCATGTAGGAATCGATGGACCTGCAAGGGTATCCAAAGCTGTCTCACACGAAGCCAGCTTTCTTTTCGTGCTGCTACTGCTCCCTGGGTACGGTCTGCGTCTGCGTTTGCTGTGTTGTTGTTTTTGTGTTTTTGTTGCTGCTGTAAGTCTGCATTTTAAGCCAAAAGCTTTCGAAGGCCGAAAGCCGAAAAAAAATCGGCGGCCTGGCCAAATTGCTCATTGAACAAGACGAGCTCGTGGCGTGCGTATCGCAGACAGCAGACAGCAAGACATCAGAAATCAGACATCAGACCTCGGATGAGGGAACCAGCAGCCGCGTTTCGAGAGTGTCCGATCGCAGTGTGTGTGTGTGTGTTTTTAAACCAACCGATCATTTAGTTCAATCTTTCGCGATCAAATTACATAAAATAAAAGTCCCAAATGCCAAATTAACTTTCCGTGATTACTGTGCTGCTAAAACAAATCAAATCGAATCGAGCCGAACCGAACTTTGTACTCTGTTGTTGTATTTTTTTTGTTTTTGTTTGTTTGTTACAATTTTTGTTTCTGTTTTGCCATGAAAGAGAGCAGCCGTCATGGTGGTCGTGTGTGAGACAAAGGAAAGTGGCCAGCCGTGGGGTTCGACTTGATGCCGCACGGACAAACGCAGCGAGAAACCACAGATAAAAACAGCGACGGGCGACCGCTACAACAAAAACCACAAAAAACGGAGGCAAGTGCATCAAAAGTCTATACCAAAATGGGAACAACACACACTAAATATACATATGTATCAGCAGATAGGTCAATTATCTGCGATAGATATGCAGATACATATGTGCAGAAATACATACATTACTGGCAACACACATTTATCCATAAAAATATCAATAGATCAATTATAATCTTTACATTCACACACAACATCGATTCATGCAGCGATAGATCCAGCTATAGATGTACGAAAGAGATGTATGAAAACGTCACTCAAAAGCTCTCTTGAACGGACAGTCCTCTAAAGTACGACACTTCTCAGCAGGCCCAAGCACACATGCAGTGAAAGTCTCATTAGGCGCACAGCCTCCCCCTCAGGTACCAATCAATGGATGTCACATTTCAAATATTTATACATTAAAAGCACGTGACTGAAATTAACAGATGCATCCTGAACACATAAGCCCTGAAAAACATAATTTATATGAACATGAATTTAGATTCTCATGAAACACAGTTGAAACCTGCCAAATATGGAATATTCTGGGACTGCCACTTGCAATAATAGAATTTGCCAGCTCAAACTCAAAATATATCATTTAGATTGGACCTTGACTATATGTATACCGATAAGCTATCAATAAAGGCAGCACAAATTGTTTGAGGTTGCTGCTTAATTTCGTTATGGGCAGATGATGGTTCAAGTTAAAGAAGTTCGGCTGTACTTATTACAGCGATAATTTTCACTTTTTTTTTTTTTTTTTAATTTTCTTATGCAATCAAGTCCGATTTCTGACCCTTGAGCGGGAGAAAGAGAGTTGAAGAAGGACAGCCAGGGAAAGTGAGAAAGGCAGAAGGGGAAAGATATTTGTATATGTGGGCTATAGAGGTAAGGAAAGCTAAGGAGGGCGGCTACCGTGAATGACGTTCTTATGTAAGACTCCTACCAGGCAAGGCACGCCTCGCATTCGGTTTGGACTTGTGGTTGGTTTGTGGAATATTCACACTTTCTACCGTTGAGTCGGCAGCACCGAGAGAAGCAACGCCACACCGCCTCACACCTCTGTGCGAATTATTATCAATTTGTGCACGTCGCGGCCATAAAGAGGCAATCATGGAGCTCGTGTTGGTTGCCACTGGTACTGGCGCTTAAAGCACTGGCACTGCCACTGCCACTGGCGCTGCCACTGCATATGCATAAAACAATTAAAAAACCAAAGCAACGAAACCCGCCAGAAAGCGCCAGAAAGCGGTGGGGCCATAAAAAATATATGTACATAGATGAGACTGTGTAAATGGGCCCAGCCACAACGAACTGAGAGTGCCCTATGGGATATGGGACAACGAAAATTGTTATAGGGAGTGGGGAAATGGAAAACGATGATTAGAGATGACTTAAGTAGAGAACAAAGACAACAAATACAAGGATACAATTTTATAAAGGCTAGGAATACTATTAAAATAAATTTATGGAAGAGTAGCCGCTTCTACACCCAGGATGGAATTCCCAAGTTAAATCCCATTTATTCTCGATTCTCGATTCGAGTTCAAATCTACATAAAGTTAAATTTATAATATTTAGGGAGGCAAGAGACAATGATCTTGTAGATACACCCACAAAATATTTTAAGTTTAATAGAACAAAATAAATACGAAAGATAGAAATTCAGATGGTTACGAAGAGAAGAGTTTGCTTCATTTTAAGAATATTTATGGAGGGAAGCTCTAGAGTTAGTGCTGGAATATATTTTTTACAGCGCAGGTAGCACCTGCACCTGTCGAGATAGTGCATCCAAATTCCTAGTGGACGGTGTAGCAGCCGAAAGCGAAACCCAAACCCAAGTCGCACCCAATTGAGGCATTAGGCTGTGTGGCACAAACATGGCCAACAACTGCAACGCACACGCCACGGAAATGCGACAAGTGTATGACAGACAAGTGTGTGTGTGTGTGTGTGTGTGTGTGTGTGTGTGTGTGTATGGAGGGTCCAAGTGTGAGCTGAGCTTCTTTAATGTGTCACGGTACCATGACGCAGCCGAATGTCGAGAAAGCGTTGACTTGAGACTGGCCGGAAATTACCCGGAGGAGTACCGGCCGCTGTGTCTGTCTAGGGCCACGGGTTCAAAATGAACACAGAAAAATGTCCGTAAATGTCATCAATTATGCCGCATAAACTGTGCCCATAATTAAAAGCTGTCGAATCATAATTGACCGACAGCTGGACGGTCTTAACCAGACCGTGACCGAGACCAGTTCCTAACAATGTGTGAATTGCATAACCATCAGCGCTGAGAAACTGCCATCCATCCAACGAATAAACGGGCGGGCGGTCGGTCGGTCGGTCGGGCGTACTCACGCACTGACACAGCGACATCAATATGATGTAAAGAAAAACAGATGAGCCACATTTTTGTGTATTTCTTATTGCTACCCTGGCAAAGGGTATTATGGGTACATATTATAGTTGGTGATGCCATGCTGCCAACTGGGCCCGCAGGGAGTCTGTGCCCTCTAAATGGCCCCTCATGTGACACCATTTCAATGCGATTAATCCCGCTCTTTGAGCACAGAAAACATATGGTTTTAGGCATAAAATATTGCCACAATCGGATGCCATCAGCCTGCCAGGGTATCTGAGACTTCGGCCCCCGAAGCCTTTATTTCTTGCTATCTTTCTTTCTTGTTTGTTTGGCGCTTTGTTTGCTCGGAGATTGCATCAATCTGGGGGCTTGGTCTACATTGGTTAAGCAGTTGGCCCAAACAAAACTTAAAGCCAGACAAATTTTCCCTTGTGACTGCTTTTGGGTGGCTGCCCCAAGGGCGCTGCATAAATTAGCGGCGATCGTTGGTCGTTGGTCGTTGATTTCTTGAGACGGTTGCTGCGTCTGCTGCCGATGTTGCACGCACCTGTTGCGTCTGCCTTTAACGGGTATTTGAGTGAATGAATTTTGATTTAATTTTTGCCTCTGCTGCTGCGCCAAAAACGACTTCTGCTGTAAGTGCTGCCGCTGCTGCTGCTGATCATGATGTTTGGTGTTGGCTCAGTTACATGGCAACCGTTGAGCCGTCCAAATCGCTTCTTTTTTTTTTCCTCCTTTATTTGCTCAGCGAAACTTCCGAGCAAAAATAAACACACGAGCGTGGATTTATATAAAAAACGGCCAGACATATGTCTAACTCCATTTAGTTAATAGCATTTGTGCTGCTAAAAATAGACAAATATTTTCGGTTAATTAATCGACAGTGACGGCTGTGCCCAGTTATAGTTGCAGCTCGCAGCTCCGTCCTTTGCTTTTGTTTTTCCTTTGTGTGAGTGCCGTGACAGGGAGGCAGAGGTGCCCTGAAATACCCATCGAAACCAGAAAGGAGTGAAACCATTTGCTCGCATCAACTTCATATCCCCACATATGTGCATACCCTTTCCCGAGTTCTAAGAAACGTTTCCTTACATTTAGAAAAATATTTTTTGCTTTCTTGGATTATCTTTTGATTTGGTTACACAAATGAGTCCTTCCTATAACTATATATAGCTATAACCTATAATTGTATTGTCAATATGCAACATTATCTTGCATATCTGCATTTATTTACGCATTTGCTGTCGGATGCACAAGCGAAAAGAGCCAAGGGGAATGCTCGTGAATCCAAAAACAAAATACATGTCGCTTGCACGACGAAGAACATTGCTGTTAGTGTCGAATGTGGCCGACAGGGATATATATGCATACATATATCTTTTTTTTTTGTACAATTTTACTGATATATTATCTATAAATACGTGGTATAGTCAACGTGGTATAGTTTAGAGCTCTATGCATGCTCTCCACAATGAATAAAACGTTAACAGCAGGACAGGAGGATAAGGAAGTTCCGCTGGTGCGATGATGTAGCTTTACCCCCCGAAAGGGTATCCAAAATACAGTTCAGACATAACTGATGGCATGCACGTACGGACGAGTATGTTCGGCTTATGTAGGAAGCTCGATCCAGCTCGTGGATGTTGATGTCGCTTGGCACTGTGTGGCTTTCACTGCGATCGAGGCTTCGAGTCGCAGAGACAGAGAGACAAGCAGGGGTGGGGACTGAGCCACAGAGGTGGACTGGAAAAACCACAGAAACATCAGGAGCTGTAGCTGGAGCTGAAGCTGAAGTTGAAGCTGAAGTTGAAGCTGGACAACGGCAGCAATTAATGCCAATGCCGCCAATAGACGAACAAAATAACGAAATTGCATTTTAAAATAATATCAACAGCGACGGCGACAGCGACAGCAGCAGCACCAGCAGCAGCAGCAACGGAGACTTTGACTTCAACTGTGACTAAGCCGTCGGTCTTAGCTTTTTCCGCCTGCCAAACGGCATTGAACTTGAAAAACTTGCTGGGGACAGACGAAGACGCGAAAGAAAGAAAGATGCAGATGCAGATGCAAATGCCACAAAAGAGAGGCTAGGGGATGGTAGGGAGAGAGAGAGGCGAGTGGTTTTGGTAATGAGATGCAGCTGACATCATTTGAAAATTTATGCATTGGATTTCGGTTTCGATTCAATGCGATTTGATAACGTTTTTTTTTTTTTTGCTTTTGTTGCTTGCGAAAAAGCATAAACAAGTTCGTTGCCTAAGTCTTTTGTTCGGGGAGCGCGTGCGCGACAGCGCCATCTGTTGGCCAACGATTGCCAATGGCTGGCTGTACACCCCGCACAGCCCACCCGCCTTCTTTTCCACAGTGCAATGGAATTGGATTGGATTGGATGGGATTAGTTGGCGGCTTCCGCTAGACAAACGGACAATCACGAAAGCCGCTCGCATGTCGTCTCATTCGCTGTTTTGTTTTGTTTGCAAGTCATGCAAGATTGGTAGCAACACAACAACAAAATCCAACAATGCTCATCAATTACTCCCCTATATATGGGAAATGATAGCGGACTGAAGCTCCCACGCCCGAAACTCACTCGCAACGAGTGTTGCTCAATCCATGGGATTTGGGTGGGAGAAATAATCACCTCGAGTGGGTCTCGAGACGTAAGATTGCAATGGATAGTTTGTACATGGCAGTGTGATGTGATATTCCAAGCTGAATAGGCTCCATCAATCATATTCAATCCATCAGAGGCACTTGCGGCACTGCTCTAATTTGTTTCCTTTTTCCTACATTTTTTTACTTGCAGTTCTGTTCATATTTCGGTCAAAATATGGGCCAGGAGATATCCCAACAATCAAATCAACAACAACAACAACCACACCAACAACAATCAGCCCACCACAAGCGACAGCCACAGCCACTGCCACTGCCACAAAAGAAGAGTTTCTATAGCAACAACAACAACGGCAGAAGCAGCAGCAGCACCACCACCACCACCACCAGCAACCAGCAACAGCAGCAGCCCATTTACACACCCAGCAGCTGCACCACCAGCAACAACACTAGCCACAACCCCAACCCAAACCCCAACCCTAACCCTAACCAGAATCAGAATCAGAACTACCGACTACGCCACAAATACAATCTGAGCAAGCAGACGTACGAACGCAGCAAGATCGTGGCCAGCAACACGAGCACCAGTCAATCGGACACGGACTCCAACTACGCGAAGATCAACAGCAAGTATCTGCAGAGGAGCTGCTCGCAGAGCTCGGACAGCGGCATATACAACTCGTCGTGCCACTGCTCCTCGGTGTCCTCGCTCTCGGCGGTGAGCAGCAGCAGCAGAAGCACCACCAGCAGCACCGGCGGCTCCAGCCGGGGCTGTCCCAGCTCGCTGGTGTCCAGCAAGTCCCACAGATCGCTGGACAAGCAGAAGCACTACCTGAGCCACCACCTGTACATCAAGTCGTATCTGGATATCTTGGAGGAGGACGAACGGGCACGCGCACACTTCAAGTCGGCCCGCCCCGGTGGCATACGCAACTATACGCCAAAGATCTTGGCCAGCAGTGACACGGCCAGCTCCAGCTGCACCTCCATCTCCCCATCGGTGCTGTCGACGAGTGCGCCAGCTTCGGGCATCAGCTACGGGCCAGGCAGGCGATCGAGTGTGTCGGGCACGGGCACGGGAGGAGCCACCTCAACTGGGAAACATTGCCAGGAAGATCCGTGGATTTGACAATTACTGAAACATGGCGTTTGGCACAATGACGTCTTTGCTTGGCATGATCCCGCTGCTGGCGATCGGCATGAATTTCTATCGCTATCAAAGCGTCGATCCCGAGAACAAGGTCCAGGAGCCATCTGTCGTAAGTTTCCCACCCAACTGACGGGCGATGATTATCGATTAATGGATATATCGAGTAAGCCAACCCATTTTTAATCTCTTTTTCTTTGCCTTCTTGCAGATCCGACGTCAGTATGATTTCGTTGTGATCGGTGGCGGCTCGGCGGGCGCTGTGGTGGCCAATCGCCTGAGCGAGGTGCGCAATTGGACGGTGCTGCTGCTGGAGGCGGGTGGCGACGAGACCGAGATATCGGATGTGCCCGCCCTGGCCGGGTATCTGCAGCTGACGGAGCTGGACTGGAAGTACCAGACGACGCCCTCGTCGACGCGCCAGTACTGCCAGGCGATGAAGGGGGACCGCTGCTTCTGGCCGCGGGGCAAGGTGCTGGGCGGCAGTTCGGTGCTGAATGCGATGGTCTATGTGCGGGGCTCGAAGAACGACTACAACCACTGGGCCTCGCTGGGGAATCCGGGCTGGGACTACGACAGCATGCTCAAGTACTTCCTAAAGTCGGAGGACGTGCGCAATCCCTATCTGGCCAAGACGCCCTATCACGAGACGGGCGGCTATCTGACCGTGCAGGAGGCCCCCTGGCGCACGCCCCTGTCGATCGCGTTCCTGCAGGCGGGCATGGAGATGGGCTACGAGAACCGCGACATCAACGGGGCCCAGCAGACGGGCTTCATGCTCACCCAGAGCACCATCCGGCGGGGTGCCCGGTGCAGCACGGGCAAGGCCTTCATCCGTCCGGTGCGCCAGCGCAAGAACTTCGATGTGCTGCTGCATGCGGAGGCCACGCGCGTCCTCTTCGACAAGCAGAAGCGTGCCATTGGCGTGGAGTATATGCGGGCCGGACGCAAGCAGTTGGTCTTTGTCCGGCGGGAGGTGGTCGTCAGTGCGGGGGCCCTCAACACGCCCAAGCTGCTGATGCTCTCCGGGGTGGGGCCCGCGGAGCATCTGCAGGAGCACAGCATCCCGGTTATCTCGGACCTGCCCGTGGGCAACAACATGCAGGACCATGTGGGCCTCGGCGGGCTCACCTTCGTGGTGGACGCCCCGCTGACAGTGACCCGCAATCGCTTCCAGACCATACCCGTCTCCATGGAGTACATAATGCGGGAGCGCGGCCCCATGACCTTCTCGGGGGTGGAGGGCGTTGCCTTCCTGAACAGCAAGTACCAGGATCCGGGCGTCGACTGGCCGGACGTGCAGTTCCACTTCCTGCCCAGCTCCATCAACTCGGACGGGGGCGAGCAGATCCGCAAGATACTCAACCTGAGGGACGGCTTCTACAACACGGTGTACAAGCCGCTGCAGCACAGCGAGACCTGGTCGATACTGCCCCTCCTGCTGCGGCCCAAGAGCACCGGCTGGGTGCGCCTGAACTCGCGGAATGCCCAGCAACAGCCCAAGATCATACCCAACTACTTTGCCCACCAGGAGGACATCGACGTCCTGGTCGAGGGCATCAAGCTGGCCATCAATGTGTCCAATACGCAGGCCTTCCAGCGCTTCGGCTCCCGGCTGCACAACATTCCCCTGCCCGGCTGTCGGCATCTGCCCTTCCAGTCGGACGCCTACTGGGCCTGCTGCATCAAGGAGTTCACCTTCACCATCTACCATCCGGCGGGCACCTGTCGGATGGGTCCCAGCTGGGATGTCACCGCCGTCGTGGATCCCCGCCTGCGCGTCTACGGCGTGTCCGGTGTGCGGGTGGTCGACGCCAGCATAATGCCCACCATTGTCAATGGCAATCCCAATGCCCCGGTCATCGCCATTGGCGAAAAGGCCTCCGACCTCATCAAGGAGGACTGGGGTGCCCGACGACCCACTTCCACTCCCACTCCAGCAGCACCTCCGCTGGCTTCCTAGCTACCCAAAAACCAACCCCCCCACCCCATCCTCCCTCCATGCTCTATCGCTAATTTATGTTTCAACTAGTCAAATGTGAATTAATTAATTGCTACTCGTATGAATTTCTCGTTACGTTCTCCTGCCCTCTTAATCTCTGCCTAAATTATGCTTAGTGTCTTAAGTTAATTTTATGTACCATTTCCAGTGAGTTTTTTTTTTTTGTATTTGTTTGTTATTGTATCGAGCATTTTATTAAATATTTATATAATTTATATGGGCACTCCATTTATTTATCTCTTTGGTTGCATCGTTTTACCTTCAGTTTAGCTTAGATTTAAATCAGATATGGCATGTGTGCAGCACATATCCAACAATCAGTAAGTCAGTCCATATCTGATAAGTCTCAAAAGTTTAGTTTAAAGCAGTCATCGGCACGCACTCACTCACATGCTCTGCAGGCAAAACGGAACATTTTAGTGGTTCTGTTATATACGTGTACGTGAGAAGCGGACCCTTCTACTTGGTAAGGTCTGTAGAGCCCTGGCTCAGGCAGCCCGCAACGTTCACAATTAATAGGATTGATTCGTGATGGATTTCTACAAAGTGCTGATTCTGATGGTAGGGGGCCCCAACGCGGAGCAAGGCTATCTGAATTTAATGGTTTTTGGCTGCCAACGTTTACGGGGGGGGGGCCCCACAGGGGACTTTTTTTTCCAGGCACTATTGGGGCAGCGCCTGTGGCATAGGCAACACTTTTCCAACCGCAAATTAGTCAGTGTTGCAACCAAAAGCAATGGGTCTTTTGGGCTTTTGTGTACAGCAAGCAGCATAAATGGATTGACTGAGTTGGATTAAGCTCCACCTTATCTTTCTTACTTTATCTTTAATATTCAACTAAATAATATTATAATATTTTATTATATATAATATATTATTATATAATAATAAATTATATTATTCTCCTAAACTGAAATAAAGCAAAGCAAATACTTGTAGTAAAAATCTCCAACACTTCTCCAACGCAGACAGACAGAAAGAAAGACCTTAGGGAACCCAACCCGAACCCAAATTTATGGTGAAAAACATGCCAGATTTGTGCTTTCCATTTAAACATTTGATGGCCATAAGCACTGGGCGTTATTTGGCCCACGTCCGCCCCATTTTGGCCCAGCCAAATGTCAAAAATTGCCAGCCAGGGGACGATCGAACATAATCAAAATGATCGGCGACCATTTCCGTGTGCGCTCACCCACCGCTGGCGGTGGGCGGGGCTTCCGTGTTGCCAGCTTGATGGCCCGATAGTTTCGCTTTTCTGTGGCTCTCAAGTGTGCCAAGGTTACGGCTGCTATTGACCACACATTTGGCCGGCGTTTACACGTTTTATTTCGTATGTAGGTGTCGTCGGTGGTCTTGCAGTGGTCTTTGCCGTTTGGTATTTGGGCAATGCCTCTGGCCAGACAATTATCAACTGTCTGCTAATGGTACCATGCATGGGCCCTGTGATGACCGATTGCAATTGCAAATTTCGCATGAACTGGCCAAAAAGAAACCGCACACCCGACACAACACACAACACACCGCACACCGCACGTATTGGCAATAAAGTTCACAAAATAATAACAGAAAAGCAAACAAAATTGCGGTACCATAAACCACCCAAAGCGCTTTGTTTTGTTTTGTTTTTTCTTATATAAGGCCCTTCAGACGGTAGCCCCCAAAAGCAGAGGGAGGAGAGATGCAGAGAGATATCAAATAGATAGATGGATAGACCTGCTGCAAACAAAGCTTAACCAAATATTTGATTTCATTTAAACGAAACGCAAAGTCACAGTCGTCGATGGATAGAGATAGAGAGGGGTACGGGATACGGCGCATACAAATGGAAAGTGTTATGCCAAAGACAACGAAAATCGGGTACCCGAAAAGATCTCAAACGATAATGATCATCAGTGCCTGCATATACGGTATGCAGATCATCATGTACGTTCGCGATGATGACATGGTATATGGGATATGGGTAACAGGGGGTAGGGACGAGTACAAGCATGTCAAACGATAAACGATGAACGTATAATACTCGTAGTGCGCGTAGTACTCGTATCTGTGTCTGTGGTCAGTGAAACGATGCAACGAATTTGGGTCATTAAACCGCTGAGAGTTCAGTTCGATGAGACCATCTCTATTCAAGTGGCGGCTTGTGGGGGCACAGCCAGACGCGATGAGATGAGGGTATTATGATGGACGGGTGTGTGTTGTTTAAGTAGGGATCGAATGGCATGGACTGGCATGGAATGGGAGACGGCTAATCCATTAAAAAATAAACGATATCATAGCACTAAGACTACCGAAGCAATTCGCATAAATAAATCAATAAAAAACGAAAAGGAACGTGCGAGTCGCTTCTGGAGACGCGACTCTCTTGATCGTACTAGCCTAATATAACCAAAATGACTACTAAAGCTGCGTACATCCTTCTTTTGTTACCAATTTCATTGATTGAATGCAACAAATTCCATTGGATATTGAGCCTTTTCGGTTGAGCTAATGATTGATTGAGCATTTGTGAACTCACTTTGCCACTCTGCCACTCAACTGAATCATGCCATCACTCATTGGCAGTCCTTTAGTGTTCCATACGGTGGGTACATTAAAGTCAAATGATTCATGAATTGTTATGAGGAATTCGCACTCGCATTCGCATGATTACCTTTGTTTTGTCTCCCTCTTCATCGTTCACCATTTTTACCCCAATGGATTCCAATGAAGTGCAAACAGAGCGACGTGAAAAGTCGCAGCAACTCAAAAACAGAGCCAAACAAAAAGGAAAAACAACCAAATCCAAGCTGGCTGTGTCTGTATCTGGTCTGAGGGTGGGGACTATGTATCGTACAGGGATTGAATAATCTCTGTTTAATTTTGGTCAATTATGCCGTGGCTCAGTCGAATTGAATCGGCTGCAATTGCAGCTCATACTGCACCGCTGCAACACAACACTCCAAAAGCCGAACCCCAAATTGTTCAAGGCATATAATTTCAATTGCAAACTGGACCGTGGGGCTGCACGAGACGAGGAGCCCGACTACCAGCCATTGTCAAAAAAAAAAAAAAAAAAACAAAATAAAATGTTCAAGCCTGCTGCTTATGTCATAGATGGTAAGGTGTTAGGTGCCGCGCCTCACGTAGACCATAGAAAAATAGCAACGGCCCCAGTAAAGGCAGCGGTGGCGGTGCAAGTGCCAGTGCCAGTGGCGGTGGCGGCTAACGAGCTGGATTGAACTGGCAGTTGGCTGCCCTTTTAATATGACCTATTATGGAGGTACTTGTGCCTCTGCACTGCTTCCTTACTGCCTGCACCAGCACTGTGTTTCACCCACCCGGCCCCCAATTGCAGCCCCCCATCTGATGCAGCGCCAGTTGCACTTGCCTCCCCAGCCCAATATTTGAAAGCCAAGCGAAAGTTTAGATACTCTTTGAGCGTGGTCAAACAAGTTGGCCTGGAACAGAGCAGATCAGCATGGACAGTGGCTCAGTGGGAGAATGTTCTTCTAAAAAATATCCCTTCTAATGGGCAATAAAATGTCACTCGGCACATTCCCAGCATGGTGGTGATTCTGATGAGAAACAACATCAACATATCATTCAAAAATATGTCCATTCGCTTATGGCAAATTTGTACAGCTGTCCAGATCGGAGTTATTGGCATATCACATGGATAGAATTTTGTACACATAAAATACATAATTCAATTAAAAATATAATTACTATTTATTACATTTTTGAATTTATTATGTCTGGAAATTTTGATTGGACATATCTCGTCTGATAAATGAGGCTGAAGTGTATTTGAGACGTGACTCGATTGCGCTTTTGGATTGCATTTTCTGGAGGGCGTTTGCAACTTATTTTGGAGGGGCCCGGGGGAGTGGCCCGGAAAGTATGCACATTCCCTTTTCGGCTTTCCGGCTTAGCTCTACATATATGCAGGTACATATTGCCGAGCGCTCTCTTTCCTGTTTGATCGGCACTAATTGCACTTTAACACCCCACATCGTACGGAATAGGAGACCAAACGAAACGAAACGAAATGAAACGAATTGAGAAAGAGACAGCCGATTGCCATTGCCATTGCGATCGCGATTGCGAGGGAGATGGAGATGGAGATAACGATGGAGGTACAGCCGCTATGAAATACATATTTCAACAGCTTACCTAAATCATGTGGTTGCTGTGCTGTTTTGTTTTTTTTTTTTTGCTTTTTTGGCTCATGATTACATAAATTATACCCGTTGACAAAACACAGCCCGGCGGCCAGGCCCCAGCCAGTTGCCTGGGGAATGAGAGAGAGCGAGCAAAAAAAAAAAAAGATCTTTTTCTCAGGCATGTTTATGGGTTAATAACTTTATTTGGCCATTTTCTGCTTGTCTTTCGACTGTTTCCAGGGACTACGGAATGCGGCCAGTCACAGCCACAGCAGCACACGCGGAATTCTGAGAACTTCTAGTCGAGCGGGCCAGCTTTCTGCAGCAGACGGACATCGCCTATGCGCACTGATGTTATTAATGTCGAACAGGCAATGAAGCTGAAAGCTTTATATATGTTGTGAAAAAGATTTCTTCATATTCTTGGAATAACTGCCATTTGAAATAAGTTTTTCTTTAAGTATTGCTTTAATGATTTATCCTGGAAGGTAAGCTGGAAGCTGGAATATTTTTATATATTTTTAGCTTAAAAACATAACCTTTGAAAGTTTTTAAACCTAAAATGTATTCATTGAATAAACCTGGATATTGGATATTTACGGATGTACTGGATATTGATTGTTACTTAATGTTTCAAGATTGAACTTTTTTTCTTAAAATTGTATCCATCGGCTTAAATATTTTTCTTTAATATTTCTCCACGGAAGAACATGGAAGAAAAACTAAAAATTCGAGTTCTTTTGTAAATATTTCTGTCATTGGACGGACTGCTCTTTGAAAATTTCCATAATTAAACATATTGAAACATAACATTTACTGATTCTGATATTTGATTTTAATTAGAAGGATCAGTAGGAAGATTTCATATGATTTTTTTCCGTTCAGTCGCACTCTTTCACGCTCTAGCCCTCTCTCACAGTTCTCACTCACTCTTCCCTCTATTCGTCTTTCTTCCGCACTCTCCCGGTCTCCCCCGTACGAACTAGTTTGACCTTCTGTTTCCCCTCGCTCACTTGGGAGACATCTTCATGCGAAGCTTGGAAGTTCGTGGGAGCTACCGTGCCCGTTCCGTTATCAGCGCATCGAACATGTTCGACGGCAGACACGCTCGCTCGCCCGATGTGCCAATAATATGCAACAGCTGGTTGGATCTCGCTCCTCTAGTTGCTTTACCCCCTAAGCATAGCTCACAGATCAGACAGGTATACTGTGTTCGTGCAACAGTATGTCACAGCAGGACAAATATCAGGATCAGAGTCAATGGCCAGAGGCTATAAGAGATGGATTAAATAAATCCATAATTTTTTCATTAAATAAACTTTGTGTGTAAATCAAATGTTTCCATAAAAGTAGAAAAATCGGACTGAAGCAGAGCTCTAATTAAAGCATACATATTTGAAATTAACATCTCAGCGATTTACTTTTTATTTTGATTTAAAAAAGCTCAAAATTAATATATTTTTGCATATGCTTTGTTTCCATTTAATTAATTAAAATCAGGCCCGTTACGGATATTGCGTATAAATATGTAAATATACTTAAAATAAATGTTAATCAGGACAGGGTAAATGTGAAGCTGATCAAATTTAAATATCTGCGATGGAGATTACAATTTCAATTTACAGCATGCACTGTACATATGTGTGTGTGTATGTGTATGTGCATGCCGCAGAGTACTGGGTATCCCCATGGTCGAACCACCCCACTCGTCCGTGGAATTTGTATCTCTCTCTGTTGTTGTCTTTTGCTGCGCTCAGCTCACTTTACTTGTTGTTATTTTTGTTGCCGCTTGCTGGCTGGTTTTGCGGTTAGCTGCTAGTTGCTGGCTGTTGGCTGTTGGTTGCTGGCTGCTTTTCGTGTTGTAGCTTCATCGACGACTTCGTTTTGGCCGAATTTCGCGGCGACAAGCGAAACGCTCCATTCAGTCGAGTACGTGCAACGCAGCCGCGCAGACGCAGCCAGCGGTTGAATATTTTTTTTTCGTTTTTTTTCCTCCTCCTCCTCCCGCTGCATTGCTGCATCCTTTTGCCACGCAAGGATCCCGGTACGCCGCTTGTCAGCCAAAAGTGTCCGAAAACCAAGTGCCAAGCTGCGTGGCCCGAGAATCGCAAGTAAGCAGAGCGACAAACAACAACAACAAACAACAAAAGTGACAAGTGACCAAACCGAGGGTTAAGTGTGGCCAAAAGTAGAGAAATGGAGGGTCAAGTGTTCCAGTCCAGTGAGAAGAGAACTTTTACGGGAAGAGAACTGTTAGAGCTTCTCCAGGGAGTAGGAGACGGGGCAGACACAGAAAGAGAGCGACACCTGTCGCCGGTGCAAGCAGCATTTGTTGTTGGTGCAACCGTTGTTGTTGAAAACGATTCACTCGAGTGCAGCGTTCGGGTTATTGCTGTTGCCTGGCTTGTGTTGAGTGTGGCAACCACAATCTGCACCACTTCGTACCCACAACAGCGACAGCAACTGCCGCAACAACAACTGCAGCGAACTGTGAGATGCATTCAACAGACATTCATATATGTATGTACAATGTACATGGAAACCCTAACAAATCACACACAAGATAGAAAGCTTCAGTCCAGAGTCTCGACAAGGAGCGCTACCAGACCCTCTGTGCTTCCGAGTTGATTCGTGGCTCAGGAACTGGAGATACCTCCAGTTGGGGTATGGATTATACTAGTACAACAAACCCACACTCGTTTGATCAGTCTTTCTGGTAGAGAAATGCTACGCTTGGGAGCTGTTTGCCACATTCTGCCAGTAATGGTTATCCGAGCAAGTGTTTAAGGATCTTTCTACAAATACAGTATACCCGTGCGCTATATTGGAGGACCGGGTATGACAAAGCATCAACAATACTCGCAAAGCTCAGGCAGACAAAGAAAGATGGTCATGACGGCAAGAGAGGGAACAATAAGTAGGCTACATGTTGCAGCAACAGCAGCAGCAACAACAATACTCTCCAACGGTGGCTGTGCATTGCCATTGTTTCAAGGGGGGGAGATGTGACCCCTCTTCCCCTTCTTTTTGCAACTCGAAGACAATACAAAGATTTGTCGTCGTTGCTGCTGAACATCAGCAACAACCGCAGCAGCAGCAGCAGCAGCAGCAGCAACATCAAACCATGCAGCGGCAACAATTGTTGTTCATGTGTTCATGCACAACAATAAAAATTAGCATTTACATCAGCGGAGTGAAAAGGGAAAAGCGGAAAGAAGAAGAAAGAGGTGTTGTGGGAGAGTTTGGGGCCACGCCCCAGCCACATAACATCGCCACAACAGCAACAGCAACAACAGCAGCAGCAGCAGCAGCAGCAGCAAATAAGTATCATCTTTGGGCCAAAGATTTTTACATCAATTTCAACCCAAACTGGCAGTAAAATTATACTCAATCACCGTTGATTGATCGCTTAAGCGAAATTGAGCAATTTCAATCAAGTCGATGGCCGCAATCAATCGATAAAAATCAATGGCAATCAGATGGCGCCATGGGCTGCCTCAGATTTTATTTATAGTCGATATACAGCGATATATCGCTGTAAATAATCGCTAGATTTAGCGAACGTGAGTGATTAATAAATACTATCATTACCATCACGACATCTCCAGGGAGGTCGACGCTATTAAAGCCTTGAGTTGGCTGGAAAAACTAGGAACTTTCAAAGTGCTCAAACATTCTTGAGTATTCCCAGCGACGATCACTTGCCGATAGTTTTCCATGCCACGGCGCCATGCTCTCTCTGCACTACGGGCTGCTTGTATTCGAAATTCCTGCTGCCAAACCTCTCTAAATATTTGAGTCTCATTCGATTTGTTACTCGATAATCGCCAGTGCATAGCTTTATTAGCATTGGGCACGCAGTGGCAGAAGCAACGGACATCAGGCAACGGGCATCAGGCAACGGGCATCTGGCAACAGGCAGCAAATTTCCAGGGGTGTTGTTGCAGTTAAATGAAATTTTCCGCTAACTAATTAAACATTTTACTCTGCCGCCGAATTAATTGCAACATTTGTTACTACAGTTAGTCAGGCAAGGCGGCTTTTGCTGCTGCTGCTGCTGCTTTTGCTGTTGCTGCTGTTGTTGTTGGGGAAAATCAAGTCATTGACACAATGACATCTCCTAACCTCACTCATAGCCGAAGAACAGCAGCCGGGGGTAAATTGCTTTGGCACCTCACCAAGGTGACTGACACCGGCTGACACTACATAATCATCATGAACTCTGAAGTTGTCTGTCTGTCTGGCTGTGGGTCTGCCTGTCTGTCTGGCTGTGTCCCCGCTTGTCATACGTTTGTTTACACCAAATTAACGCACAAAATCGCAAAGAAAATCACTTTAATTGTCTCAATCATCATTGTCAAAGTGGTTTGTTCGCTTGTGGGGTTGGTGTATCCCAAAGAGATACACAAAAAATGTGCGTGGGTGCTTGCCGAGTTCGTCGAGTGAGTGAGGCTTGATCATGGCCTTCACTGCTGGACAGGAAATCTAATTGGCTAAGCTGCCGCATAAAAAACGGCTATATAAAAAACCATTTTGCTCATGGAAAAACATCATCACATATACTCTCCGATCCAGCTATCCTCAAACAGACATTCGAGTAGTTTGGTGGGATTTCTTTTAGTCTTTTTAGAGCCCCCAAGAGTTTTGCCACAACAACTGGTAGTCCTTGTGGTAGGCTATACACTATAGTAATCCGATATAATCCACTTTCCAATGCTCAGACTTGTTCTTCGATTGATTTGATCGGAAATTGGCTGTGCAGCTGCTCAAAATCGGCATACCCGTTTGGAAGTGTATAAACTATTTTTCTTCATTTTAATGACGCACGTCAATACTGCTATATAGGTTGTGGCAGGGGGGGGGGGGCGAATGGCAACCATGAGGGAAGAGGTAACTGCGGGCCGGGACGGGCCGGGTCGGTCCGACCAACAGGTTTACCTGGTCCCGGAGCCGCCGCATCAGCATCAGCCCTCTTGTCTTGGCCAAACTCGTTTACTGTCGCTGCTGACCCAATTTCGTGCCGCGCTTTTTCGACATTTTTACAACAAATTGTTTCAGATGTGGTTGTTGTCGCTTTTTTTTGCACAAAAAAAAAACCCTAAGAAATGAAAAACAACCAGTAATGAGAAATTGTAAAAAGAAATGGTAACCCAAAACAGTTCCAGTCTCTGTAGCTGTATCTGTATCTGTATCTGCGTGTGCCTCTGCATCTTGCATCTGTGTCTGCGGTTGGATCGGAGTCGCGGGTCTGCCAGGAAAGATTTGAGAGCCACCTGTAGTGGAAGCGGTTGGCCCAGTCTCGGGTGGCGGCCTTTCACTTGAACAGCGGCACAGTGGACCGGGTTTTCGCTGGCTAATTGAAGTGATAAGAAATCGACATTGAAACCGATTATGTCAGACTCGGGAAGGGTTGCGAAACTTAAGCAGAAAAATATAGTCGACAGCCAAAAGGGCTACCCAGGGAGGGAGAACAGAAAAGCTTTGAACTGGTCGATGCGCCCTGAACAGAAAAATTATTTCTTAACTAACAGAAATTCCCAGGGACTGTAGTCATTATAAGTCTTATTCAAAAAACTATAAAATATTGATTAATTTAAATTTTTATTGACTCACTTACAATATAATGATTAATTTTGAGCAAATGATTTTTTGTACTAATAAAAAACAAATAATCATTATATGCAGTCCCTGGAAATACCATCATACCATATCAAGGGCAACGCTAAAAACAAATTGATTCCGAAAAATAGTAAAAAAAATTGTTTGCTAGCATTTCATAGAACAGTATTTTAAGCAATATTAAAAGAATTAATTAATTAATTAATATTATTATTATTTAATTAATTAATTATTAATTAATTAATATTATTATTATTTAATTAATTAATATAATAAATATTTAATTAAATAATATTATAATTAAATATAATTTAATATTTGCTCTAGCGAAATAGCAAGAAATCGAAAATTATAGCGACATATTTTTGTGAATATCTCGAAAATCTTCGAAAAAACAACAAAAATTACAGAAAGGTATTTTACTGTAGATATCAAAAAGCTATCAAAAATCTGGAGATAGAATATTCACTAGATAAAGCAGAGCAAGCTAGTGAAATTATTGTTTATTATAAACTGTTGAAAACTTAAAGGAAATCTTTATAAGGTTCCCTCTAAAATGATTGCAGTTATTAAACGTAGTTACCAAGTTTAATGCTAGTTGCTTTTTGTTTAGTTCTCATTTTCAGTAATTGTAGCTATCAAAGCTCTCTCCATTGTGGCAGTGATTAATTCTAAATAATTTGGTTGCTTTTTGAGGCAACCTGTTCGTTCGAGTCCCGTAAGAATGGTTAATATCTTCATGAATCTTAAGCTTCGAAAGGAGTAAATTATACCACGTAGCGTGCCAAATATTCCCCCTATTCCGCCTGGAATAATTTGCGTTTATCGCAGAGTGGATCTAATTAAACATTTAAATGAGCGTTGGAATGCACTTCCTACTCTATCTACTCTACTTTCCCCTAATCTGTCTTCTTCAGACCTTTATTATAAACATTCTGCACTCGTCTGCATCCTCTGTACCACTTTCTACTCTCTCAGGCCTTCAGTTTGTTTTTTTTTCCCCCTTTCACCTTTTCGCCATTCAGGCAATCCCTTCACTTGTCCGTATAATTCTCTGTGCGAAATTTCCCCATAAGCGAAGGGACACGTGATTTTTGTTTTTTTTTTATGGACAAATCACAAATTTGGACAATTTGAAATATTACGAGAATTTCTGTAGGATTCAGCATCGACTGCAGATGTGAAGGTGCTGCGAATGAAAGTGCATCTGATATCTTAGACTCATTAGGTCGTGTACGAACGAGTACATAGCCTATTTCTCACCCACTCGCGTCACATACCACATTCCAGCATCCCTAACCTAACCTAACCCAACCCAACCCAATCTAACCTAACTAGATCTCGCCCGCCATATTCACATACCCCTCCGATTTGTAAAATGGATAGACAAGCGTTAAGTGCGGTTGGATATTTCAACAGCCGCTCGATAACAACGGCGGTAACGGCAACGGCAACGGCGGGTAAGGCGACAACAAGCCACAGCGGGGCATGGGCCTGGCAGCAGCGGCAGGCATGTGTCAACAGCTCCCTCTGCCTGAAACCAAAACAAAACCCAAAAATAGCAACTGCCTGAGCCGGCTGATCGGAGCGAGAGACCCACTCAAATGTATATCTATCTATCTATCTATCTACAAGATACAAAATACCCGCAATACAAATACTTACAGAAAGGCAGAGAGCAGCAGCAGCAGCAGCAACAGCAACAGCAAATTTCGTATTTCTTTTACCCAATCGAGCACGCCAATTACGAATACCCCCGAAATCCAGCAACGATTTGGTTTTGGCTTTCTGTTACATCACTTGTTGGGCTCTTGGGCTGTTGAATCGTGCAACAACAATAGCGAAAACAACAACAACAACAACAACAAACAAAGTATTGTAATATTGTAATATGGAAACGACAAAACCGAAAAACGGCCGACGAATTTGAAAGACAAACAAATGGCATACATACACTCGTATCTAGCCATTGTGGATGCACCAGCCCCACATACGTGACTTACATACATTAAAATGTAAGCCATAAAAAGAGCGCGAACGCACACGGTGATTGGGGATTGCCCCTTTGATATGTGGCTCTTCCTATTAGCCCCAATATCGTCAAGGTCGCCCAGTCCAACACACACACACATGTAATCGGGCAATCGCTATAGACGGGCGAAGGGGGGGCGCGGATGGGGAAGGTGGCACATCGCTTTCGTTTATTTGGATTAGTGCAACACTCTCTGTCTGCTGATGCAACTGTCTGTGGCAACTACTGCATTCGGTCATGCAATTATCGGAAATTTGTTCATATTTAAGCAATCGAAACAAATGGAAATCCCACTCGTTGCACTCGTTGCATACAGAACCAGGCCATTAGAGTAGGGATCGGCACACAGACTCACACATTTATTTGGTGCGTTTGTGTGCGAAGACAACAGACACGAAGTCAAATACGTTACTTATTTCTCTGCCGCTGCGAAAGCCGAGGAATTGTGCATAGGGCACACGAATGCTTCTCTGCCGCTGAGGCAAGCGAGCAGAATATGAAGCCGTTTCTTCATAGCCCGTAGCATGTTTCTATGCCGCTACTTCAGCAGGGCAGAATAACGAAACCACACGAAGTCTTTACGCTGTACGTGTGCCGACTGCGCTGCCCGAAATGCGCTGCCGGCCTCTGCATTAGAGCGTAGCACAATGATCCAAAAGGTTTACCAAATGATCTCTTTATATTCCGCAATCTCAGTTTGGGCCTTAGTTGTGAAAATGCAGAGCTTTCCTCTAAGATTCTGTGTTTTCTTTATTTTTTTTACCTCTTTTTGCATGTAGAGTCGCGGCCCGTGCCCCTAGAAAAGTGTGTCACAATCCTGCCGACTGCTGCGCAGTCTCTCGGGATATGTTCCAGGGTGTCTTCGTCCGCCAGGCATAGCCGGCAAAATGAGTCTTTCCCAATGCCAAGTCATACAATATCCACTTGGTACTGGCCTAATAATCTAAAGAGATATTTTCCCGCTGTGCCAGAACCCTGTACCCTCTGTTTCCCGGAGGATTCATTATATTTTAAGAATAAAAGAACGTACAGAAAACTGAACGAAAAGGGAGACAATGAATAATAGAAGGGAACAAAATTCAATAGATATTTCAATATAAGATCAACCCATTCTGTACGTACATGTATCTTAAATGTATCATCTTTGTATTTTTTAGCTGGCCAACGACAAGCACTAGTGGAGAAGCGGAAACTGAACAACGAATTAAGCAAGGAAGGAATCAAGCAATCAATCAGAGAATCAGAAAAATATCAAGCAACACAACAAAAACTGAAGAGAAGAAAAGCTTGAGGGCACAAGGCATAAGCAGCATATCGGAGGCAGCTTAGCGGACCATAGAGAGAAGAGAAGAGAAGAGGAGACCAGAGCCGCGCCATGCACAAAAGAAAGAAACGCTAGAAACGCAGAGCGAAGCGAGAGACAGTGACAGTGACAGAGAAAGAGAGTATATATATGTGCATGTGCAGAGAGGGGAATCTTTATCGAGAAAGTGAAGAGAATCGCTTGAACCTGAAGCCAATCCCGAAACCAAAACCGAACCCAAACCCGTATCCGTATCCGTAGCTACAATCAACATGGTACTCAATCTACTGTTCATAACGACGGTGATCAAGTCAACGTTCGGCGTGGTGACCACGGGCCTCTGGCTAATACCCCTGATGCTGGCCGCCATCACCTACTACCGCTACGATGCAGTGGATCCCGAATCGCGGCCACTGGACCAGCTCAATCTCTATCCCGAGTACGATTTCATAGTGGTGGGCAGTGGCTCAGCGGGAGCGGTGGTGGCCAATCGGTTGAGCGAGGTGCGCAAGTGGAAGGTGCTGCTGATCGAGGCCGGGCCGGATGAGAACGAGATATCGGATGTGCCCTCGCTGGCCGCCTATCTGCAGCTGAGCAAGCTGGACTGGGCCTACAAGACGGAGCCCTCGAACAAGGCCTGTCTGGGGATGCAGAACAACCGATGCAACTGGCCCAGGGGCAGGGTGCTCGGCGGCAGCTCCGTCCTCAACTATATGCTGTATGTGCGGGGCAATCGCAACGACTACGACCACTGGGCCTCGCTGGGCAATACGGGCTGGGACTACGATCAGGTGTTGCGCTACTTCAAGAAGTCCGAGGACAACCGCAACCCCTACTTGGCCAGCAATGCCTACCATGGCAGGGGCGGGCTGCTGACTGTCCAGGAGTCGCCCTGGCACTCACCCCTGGTGGCGGCCTTTGTGGAGGCTGGCACCCAGTTGGGCTACCAGAATCGCGACATCAATGGGGCCCAGCAGTCGGGCTTCATGATCGCCCAGGGCACCATTCGACGCGGCTCCCGCTGCTCCACCGCCAAGGCCTTTCTGCGTCCGATCCGGCAGCGCAAGAACTTCCATCTGTCGATGAACTCCCATGTGACGAGGGTGATCATCGAGCCGGGCACCATGCGGGCCCAGGCCGTGGAGTTTGTTAAGCACGGGAAGGTCTATCGCATTGCGGCACGCCGCGAGGTCATCCTCTCGGCGGGGGCCATCAACACTCCACAGCTGATGATGCTGTCGGGACTGGGACCGCGCAAGCAACTCGAGAAGCACGGCATCCGAGTGCTGCAGGATCTGCCCGTGGGCGAGAACATGCAGGATCACGTGGGCATGGGCGGACTCACGTTTCTGGTCGACAAGCCGGTGGCCATTATCCAGGATCGCTTCAATCCCACGGCCGTCACCTTTCAGTATGTGCTGCGCGAACGCGGCCCCATGACGACCCTTGGCGGTGTCGAGGGCCTGGCCTTTGTCCACACACCGTACTCCAATCGCAGCGTCGACTGGCCGGACATACAGTTCCATATGGCGCCCGCGTCGATCAACTCGGACAACGGGGCGCGGGTGAAGAAGGTGCTGGGCCTGAAGGAGTCCGTCTACCAGGAGGTCTACCATCCCATTGCCAACAAGGACAGCTGGACCATTATGCCGCTGCTGCTGCGACCCCGATCGAGGGGCTCGGTGAAACTGCGGACGGCCAATCCCTTTCACTATCCGCTGATCGATGCCAACTACTTTGACGATCCCCTGGACGCCAAGACCCTGGTCGAGGGCGCCAAGATCGCCCTGCGCGTGGCCGAGGCGCAGGTCTTCAAGCAGTTCGGGTCGCGGCTGTGGCGCAAGCCGCTGCCCAATTGCAAGCAGCACAAGTTCCTCTCGGACGCGTATCTGGAGTGCCATGTGAGGACCATTTCCATGACCATCTACCATCCCTGCGGTACAGCCAAAATGGGCCCCGCCTGGGATCCCGAGGCCGTTGTCGATCCCCGCCTGCGAGTCTACGGTGTCCGCGGCCTCAGGGTGATCGATGCCAGCATCATGCCCACCATTAGCAGTGGCAATACGAATGCACCTGTCATCATGATTGCCGAGAAGGGTGCCGATCTCATCAAGGAGGATTGGCTCACCAATCCCGAGTACAAGGTGAAGCGGCAAGCTGCTTCCTCTGGCTCCGCCTCCTTCTCCGCTGGGCGCACAAAAAGTCGACCAGTAGGCGACACTGATGCGGCAGCCAGCAGCATGCACAGCATCAACATTAGTTTGCTCAACAACAGCAGCAACATCAGCGACAGCAGCAACATCATCGACAGCAGCAACATCACCTATTCAGAGAGTTAGATCGATCAGAGTCAGCTCCAGATCAGTGCTCAGGGGTCCATTAGCTTTACACACACACACACACAAAATGGGGAGAGGGATATCTTTCTTTCTCTCCAAACGAGCATCAATGTTGCCATTCATAAACGTTTTATTTTCTTGGACGAGTCTCCGTGGATCTGTCTCCAAAGAAAGTCTAGAAGAATGTCTAAACTTTAATTTTCATTGCAATCCCAATAATGAGATCAATTGAAAGTTCTACAAAATCGAAAGCTTCCTTCAAATTTAGCTGCTGCTGCAGAACATCTCCGAGAAGTCTTCCAAACAAAATCACATTTCCGGCTGCTCTGCACAGATTCTTCTGAATATTTGTTGTACAAATTTGAAGCAGCTAAAAAAGTATTTGTAGACCATTCCCCTTATTCTCTACTCTCCAATCAACGCTACACGACGGCCCCTTTTCCATTGCAAGACGCTAGAAGAAAGAAGCATGATGAAATCGAGTCATAGATTATAGCCTCCATTAATCTGTATTCCTAGCTTTAGTTAATTATTGTTTCGATATTTTTTTTTTTCTTGTAATAATATTATTTTGATCACTATTTGTGTAATTTTTCGTTAAGTTATGTTTACATTACGTTAATACTCTTTGACTATTTATAGAAAATTCCCAAACACGCATGCGCATTATTTAAACGAACACATTCTATTTAGTAAATTACATTTGCATAAACATAAACATTATGACAACGAATTAATTAGTAAATGAATGAGAATACTCACTCCACGGAGTGGGAAGGGAGGTATGTATTATTATTCGCAGACAGCCCAAAAGCAGGCAACGAAAATGAGGTAACCACAATATTTGTGTGGAATTAGTGATGGAGAAGCTTTGAGAGGTCATAGTCATTCGATGATTAAATGGAAAATACGACATAGCCGTATCGGATTGTTAGTCGATGTGCATCTGTACATAGATATAGCGCCTACCCTGGACACAAATAATTCTGAACCCGATGTTGTGTATTTATTTCATATGAAATCTAAACATGGACACATTGTGCATTTGAATTCCCCAACTACTTTGGCTTTGTTTCCCCGGCCCCGAAAAGAAGTCCTCGCTTTTGAAAAGAATGCAACCAAACAATCATTTATTTGGTGCCTTAATTTTCAAAATATTTCAGGTGATCCCACACAAAGTAGAACACATTTAAACTCATTCATTAACCGAGAACATTAAACGAGAATGACGGACAAGTTTAAGCTCCCCTCAGGCGTGTACCAGCCGCAACGGATATTGGGGATATTTCTAAAAAGAGCTCCAGAGTCAATACTTTCTGTTCTGCTGCCAAGAGAAAACGCAATATTCTGTTCCCATGCCTGACACCTTGAGTTCATCATCTTTTGATACGCAAATAGACCTTCCTAATTTATATTTCATATATATTTTATTCAACCAAATCTGAGCTAGAGTCACTATTTTAGTAGATTAAAATGCCAAGTTGTTTTGAACACAGCTTATCTGTTTACATAAAACATAACATTTTTCTATTGAAAAAACTATTTCAAATTAAAAAAAACCCTCATTTCGATCAATATTCGAAAGCTGTTGTATACTCTGTACTTTTTCTCTTTGTCAGGGATGTAGGAAATACTATTCATATGGAATATCTCACTCACGATCTAAGTCACGCTCCCATCTCGAACGATATTAAGGGACAAATAAATGATAGCCTAACATTTGGGCGCGGCCGTTAAAAGAAAAATAACGTATCATCACGCAATATTCAAAGACAGAATAAATTGGTATTAATTTATGGCGTTTCGTAAGCAGCAAGACAATAATTTTCACAGCTCGAATGGGAGCCAACATTGAACTTGTGACAACGCAACACCCCAAGCCGAGCAAAGTCGAAAGAAAAATGAAACTGAAACAGAAACAGACATCTAAAGTCTTGACAACAACCCAATCAATGGGTTATAAATCATCTTTCTGACAGACCCCGACCACCAGACCACCAGACCACAACCTTGGTCAACAGTTTTCATGCTAACACGCGAACATGTCGGAAGCCGGAACTGACCAATCGCCTCTCCGCAGTCTAATCAACGCAAATTATATTGAATGCCTTTTTTCCGGGCAGTTTCCGATATCGAAGGCATGCTAAACGATCAGTCCCTGTCCGACTTTGGACACACTTCGCTGATTTTCTTTCTAATTGAAGCTCCGAAAAACAAACCAAAAAAAAACAACCAGACAGAGACCAAAATAAAAATTATTTTAACACAAAAATCAGAATTTATGGCTAATTAATGTAAATGTCCAAGATGCTCAGCTCCTACCAAAAAAAAAAAAAAAAAAACAAAAAAAAAAAAAAAAAAAAAAAAAAAAAAAAAAACGAGCCCACAATTCACACATTTTAATGGACTGGACGGAGCGGAGCGGTTCAGGCAAGTTCAAGGCCGGAGACTGCAATGAGCGGCTGCTGCTGCTCCATTACCAACAAACGCCGTAACCAGCAGGCACGATGGGTATGATCGTCCAGTCCGTGGGTTCAATGGGTTTAAGATGCTGAACTTATCTAACATTGATTTATTCCTCTCATCTATACACTCAGTTGTCTGTTTAGTATTCATTTAGCTGATCATTTTTATTTTACTGAATTTAGCTTTACACATAACTGATTGCGATTCGACCACAGTATCTGCCATTCGAGGCACCTTTCCGCTCGGGCTTTCGACCTGTTTTTAATTGATTCTCGTCTGCACATGGCGTACAAGTGTACCCCTACATGACACGCCCCCCATCCAAGCAAACATTCCAGAGAAGGAGAATGCGCGTCTCGAGGTCTACGTGACCAGACGCCGCACCAGACACCACACACCACACACCAGATACTGCACTGCAGAGCTCGTGAAATGCTCAGAGAGCTGAGACCCGAAGCTTTGCCCTAGACTTTGGGCCCACATTTTGCCAGCGATAAGCGATTTGGTGGCCAAAAGCGCAATAAAAATACAAACCATATGCAAAAAAAATCGATGAAAAAAATTTTAAAATTAAAAAAAAAAAAAGTCGAAAATGCTGCAAAGGAAACTATGTCAATGGCCAACGGAAGTGTGTGTTGCTACCAAGACTTCCGTGTTGATGTGTTACCGTTCCAGTTAGAGGTCAATAAACTTGTTGTGTGCTCCGTTAGACATCGTTGCCATGTCCCGGGTCCGCCAAGCAGTTGACCCAGACCCAATGAACTTGATCTTTGTCTTGGATTTGCATACTTCAAACGCCGTGCCACTCACCTGTAAGGGAGATACATGAAAGGAAGAGCAAAAGACATAAATATTAATTGGTTGGATTGGGTTGGGTTGGGTTCCATATTTCAGGAAATTCTTACAGCTACAAATATACATATAAATGCCAAGAGATTACAAATGATCGCATCGATGTAGCCGTGTAAATATTCATAAGGGGATCGGAAGCGTTCTTATGTCTAGCGGAAGTAGCCCCAAAACCAATCTCTTCAAATGTAACCGGTCGACGGGGGGCTACCGAGACCCTGGACCGTGATTAGCGTTCGTGTTAGGGCCTCGCCTGACCCATTTACCCACTGAACCTGAACAGCATGTTACGTATTGAAGTGGTTACATCGGGCCACACGAGACACTCATTCAAGTTCCAATCTCAATTCCACTTCAAGCTTTGAGGCACACCACAAACCAACATAACTTCTACCACGAGACCTTGACGATCTTGATTTTTGGATAGGAAATTGGGACAGAAACCCATAACATTTTATGATTCACTCACAAGACGGGAGATTTCCATTAAGAATTTGTTGGTTAAGCTGCTTTCTGGTTATGATTTAACTTTAATTTACATAATGCTCAAACTATGTGAATTCTCAATAGAATAGAGGTGGAAATAGGCTATTAAATATGTAAGGAAATCAAAGAATGTCCACAAATATTGATTACGCGGAAACTGAATAAGCACTTTCAAGCTTTATTTATTCTACACATAGTCCGACTGTATATTGTGGAACAGCATCACCAATCAAATATTTTCCTTGGTTTAAAATTTTCCATATAAGCAGAAAGCATCTAAAAATCAGGCTAGCCTTAGATTTCGTTTATTTGTAATACAATCCAGTCGAACTAAGGAAAATAACAGCGATCGAGTCGCTACTTCATACAAGCACTACATACGGTATATTTCTGTTCACTTTACAAGTTCCTTGGTGCTTGGCGATCTTACATTCTACCCTCAATATCTCTCTCTCTTTCTGACATGCAAGCCTTGCGAAGCCTTACTCACACTCACCAACACTGAGGCCTACGTTCGAGAGCCTCCCATCTTCTCGCTTTTACGATCCTCTCTTAGCGAGTCTCTCAATACCCGCACTCCGTCAAAAATACAGCAATAGAGTTTGAAAACGAGAAGGAACGTGTGAGTCGCTTCTGGGGACGCGACTCTACTTTTATACCCGTACTCAGTCAGTATAAAAATATATGAGCTTATTATTTATGTAGAATTTCGAAATATTTTACGATTTACAGGGCGAAATTTTGTAATACACTTGTAACAGTGTGAATCATATGAGTCTGGAAACAAAATTTGGTTCCGCTAGCCTTTATAGTCTCTGAGATCTAGGCGACAAACATGACAGACAGACAGACAAAAACTCGGCTATTGATGCTGATCAAGAATATATATACTTTATGGGGTCCGAAAAGTTTCCTTCTCTGCGTTACACACATCCACTTTTACCACAAATCTAATATACCCCTTAACTCTTTTTTGAGTAAGGGTATAATGACAAGAATAACGGACAGCCCAATAAGGTAGACCAGTCACAGCCAGCAGTAGATTAGAGAAGAATCATGTAGTCAGTCTATGCATAGCCCACAGACCGAAACACACTGTAAATAACCTACCGATCCGAGATGTTCATATTTACTATATGTATGTGTGTAGGTGCCATACTGAGCGATGAATTTCCAGGGGTATCAAAAACTAGCATTTTCGTGTTTAATACAATTTTAGCATGAGGAACGATGTTTGAATGAATCATTGAAATTTAAA